CTTAGATTGTTCCAAGAACGTCCTTTCCAAGTAACTGTAATTGTTTAAAATGGCTATGTCCTTAATGTTTAGAAGTCATTTTCTAGAGAATAATTATATGATATGAAATGATTCAATTCACAGAAAGACACGTATACATGAGAACGGAAACTTAACGTAGGCGCGTAGGCCTATTAAGTTGTTTAAAATATGTCTCTTAAATGATATAATATATTTCATGATAAAAGCATAGGCCTTGCTTTACTTCTAATTAATGTAAGTTTGACCTTACCCTTATTTTGAAAACTGTAATATTCCAGTTAAAAAGATTTGATATATACTTACAGGTGTAATGGGTAGGCTTCACAAACAGATTATGCGTTAGAATATTTTATATAAGTAACACAACATAAAAAGTTTAAATCATAATCCTAAAAAATACCATTTTGTATTCAATCAAATTGTTAGAAATAAAAAGAATGTTTATAAATCGTGATGACCCAACCCATTAAAGTCAGTTTGAATATTCGGCATTATAACATTTATATGGTTAGACAGATTTCCATTGATTGATTTAAATGAATGCAAATATATTGCATACGCCTATATGGTTTACTATTATGAATGAACATATTGAAAATACGATTACATTCAAATTATTTTATCATTTTGCACAGTGAAAGAATGACCTGTGCCCCTGGGAAAATTTTGTGGCCCCTCAACCTATGCTTTCTAGAAACGCCCCCATATGTCACGATGCCATGGTTACTTTTCCATTTGAACCGACATCATAACGAAAATATAAAACATGATAAATTTAGAAGTCTGATTTTAGTTATCAAAATATTCAAAAGTCTAAGGATGTATTTGTAAATGTTATAACATCATTTTACATTTACGAATAAACCAAGATTTGCATATTACCTCCTGCATAAAATCATATAACTGTAAATAGACTTCATAACCGGACTGATATTCAGTAAAATATTGAGATTGTTATCCAGACTGTACATACATGGACATTTATGATTGGTTAAAACTTAAATTATATGCAATATAAGAAAATAATGATATGATAAAGAATACATGATAATTCATTAGAATCACAAATTAATCAAATAATGAAACCCATCTTTAAATGGCAAACGAAGCTGCCTCACATTTCAAACGGTTTTTGCAAACTACAACTCTTTTAATATGCCTGATGAAGTCAGGCTCATCATTTCATATTGAAGTTGTCATAGTGGAAAAGAAAGAAATAGTTAGTATGCTGATATATATTATGTAAGATTAATATTTTCTGTAACAAGACCATTGTACTTAAGGCACAAAAGTTGCTAGTTTGACAGTTTAATGTCTTTATCACACTCTCCTCATTTTATGTCTGAAGACTCCAATTCATATTCATATTCGTCGTCTGTACATAATAATATAGGAATAAATATGTATAAGTAAATGAAATAACTTACGTGTTTTCTGATATGAACGACTGTGACTTTATGTGAGACGACGCTATGACTCACAATATTTATTACTTTCGACCTATCATCGAGTCGAGCTCTTATCTTTATTAACGGATATGTATATACCAAACTTCCTGATGGAGTATACAGACAGCCTTTATTTTCTTTATGTACTTTCTTATTCATTTTGAGTATTATTACTGTAATTTGAGCTATTTCTATTGTTATACTTCACAAACCATAAAATACACTTCAGTTCTTAAAGTTATAACAATAAGTCATTTTGATAAATTGAGGAACAATTCAAAATGACGAACCGGACTAAGATCTTAATTTTCGTGGTCTGTCAGCAACCCTTTGATTTTCATAACCTGTATCTTCCTGGTAATTGCATTTTATTTGACAGGTAAACTGGTGAATATCCGGATTCATCTATATTCTCGAAAACTTCCTTTCTCTAACAAAAATCCTTACGAAGTTCATTAAGAGTCATCAGAAAAGTTCTGAGTTTATCATTCTCCAAGAATAACACATTAAAGCATCTGTCATTAAAATGCAGATATCCAGATATGGTATATGATAAAAGTGTCCAGTATCAACTCCGTCCAGTTACTCCGACACAAAATTGCACTGTTCGGCAAATGACCAATTCAATTCTGACACTGGTCAAGCAAATGGCTAATTGTGTAAGATTATTTTGTTTATTGACTTATTGAAAAATACTTTCTATTTTTGGTTACTTCAAAGCTCAAACAAATTTGTTAGGCCTGTTAACTAGTCATTTGTTTTCATGTAAATCAAAGAATCGAACGTGTGTTAAACATTTATTTAAGACAAAAGTTTTAATTGTTTTGGAGCAACGGGGGTTATTTTAGACATCTCTCTTCACAATTTTGTCACGCAACGCTTGATAAGTTTGTTCAAAGTACATAATACAAGGGTATTCGAAGTGATGTATTGATTCTATTCAAATAGTATCAAAGGTTACGTTTTTGATATTTTGTGACTTTCTGGTGAAAAGGTCGTCTCTCTGTAATCGGGTTATTGCTCGATATCTTGCTCCGATTAAATACATCCATCTTATATGGTTGTCTTTTATTTATATTTCTTTCATTATACCCCTCCCCCATAAGCGTATAAGTAAAAAATAATAAGTAAAAATATCAGACAAAACCCCGAAACAAAGAAAAATACAAGCAAAATTCCGCCCTCCCAACAGGCCTTCGGCCCGTACTCCTAAGATTTCCCCAGCAGACAGCAATTTGACTGCCGTTAAAAACCAACGTTTTATCTTTTATAACTCAATACTAGAAGTGGGGGCCACGGTGGCTCAGTGATTTAGACGCTAATCTGAAGGTCCAGGGTTCAATTCCGGCATAGATAATACCATCGGACTTTTCCACCCGGTTTCCCCCTGTCAGTGACGCAGGTAAGAGGGGCTGACATGGAAAAAGCGTCTAGTCGTTCGGATGGGACAATACACCGAGGCCCCGTGTGCTAAAGGCTGTGCACGTTAAAGATCCCTTGACAGTTGGAAATCGACAAAGAGCAGGCTAATGCCGCTGTACTGGAAAACATTCATTAGCCATATGGTGCAGAAAAGTAGGACGTAAAACTCATTTCAATACTAGACGTTGCATCGTATAGATGTCCTACATCATTATGTGATACGTTTTCGCATTCTCTGATTTTAGAAAAGCTTTTGATATATGAAGTTCCGTTGCTTTTTAAAGGCCTGCTAAAAACTGTTGATCTATACTGTTGCCATCGCATTAAGTACATGTTTGTCAAGTCAAGAAGTAATGTATTGAAGTACATGTTTGTCAAGAAGTATTGTTTTGTATTGAAGTACATGTATTGAGCAACGGACATAATTACCTGACCCATAAATCTTAAATACAGGGCCAAGGACTGTCGCTTCAAGATAAAGTAACAAAAGTATGCTTTTATTGTTCTGTGACTGACAGAGTGCAAATATAGGCTATCATGTCTGATTGAAAGATTACAATTGTAACGATCGATTTAATAGACTGAAATAATCGTTAAATCTATCTTTTATTATCTCCCCCTTTTATACCACTCTCTATAGAAGAGGTGTTGTCATGGTGTGTGGACGCTATAGCATACCTGAGTTGACAGTAAGGATTGCCCTGGTGAGTATATTATACCTATTTTTCTATTATTCAATTGTTATCAATATAATATACTAAACTATCAATATAATACACATTTTCACTCGTTAATTCGGAACTCGTTTTGTTATTATAAAAACTACTCGGGAAATAAACATGAGTATATTGTTGAGATTTCACTTATGATACTATATATATTTAACATAGATGTCATTTTCATTGACCTACTTACAGCTTATTAAACTAGATATTGAATGACAATTTAGCACAATGATTTCCCAAAATATGCATCGCGTTTACAGATAGTTTTAACAGTGTGAATCGCACTGTAGGAATTGTATTCCGTTATTTATGTTATCTGGAGTAATTTATTTTGCTTTGTCTGATAATAGTCGCCATAAACAGGTTTTTTAGTAGGCCATGGTTATGAGGGAATTTCGGATTATAGAGAAGAGAAACCTATCACACTTTAAACATTTAGAATTAAATTGTATTTTTGGCAAATCCAAACTTTTCTTTTCGTTTCTCTCACCTGACCTTAACCCATTAACAGTGGGCATCATTGTTACGATTACTTTTACCTGGATTATACGAAACAGTTGCCTTCGCTTTTTGAGCTAGTTTGGGGTAACTTTAAGATGAACATCGCACTTTAAAAATAACACACAGAAATTACATTGAATAACAGGCAACTAATAAAGATAGCGCTAAGTTGAATGATGTGCCTCAATTAAAACACTGGACTGGTCTAAGTCAAGGGACAATAGTTCTCCTCAGTCATGAGAAGATATGCACATACTTTTTGATATTCCTGATATGTTTATAAAACAGGCATTTACCTCTACAAGACTATGTAAAGGTGCATATCAATTCAGTTTCGTTTTAGCACCTCAATTTTAATGTTCTTATTACGTTCTTACATGCTGAGTGGTGTGAGTTCCCCGTGACTATTGTCTGTGCTCTGCTTGGCCCCTCCACCTTATAATTCGTAGAGACGCCAATGAATCAATTAAGTTACCTGTGGCCAGGGGTCACTACTAACTACACTTAATATCATTTCCTGATGTGGCCTTCTTCATCAATCCAGTAAGGTGACATACAGTAGGACCTACCCTGAGAGTCTGTCACCTACAGTTGAATACCGATCCAATTAACACCTTTTTTGAGCTGCCATAGTAATTAGTTAACGATCAGATCATTAAATTCAATTATTAATAGTGTTTGTCTAACTGTCAATTTACACGCAATCTGAATTTGTTTCTGTGGTAAAATCAATGACAAAATGGATTAAGAAGGGGCTATTTTATACGTACAGGTATAAATGATGTATGGCATTAGGATGAATAGAAAACCATACCCCTGTGACCTGCTCTTTTCATAACTTTGAAACTAGCGTTTGTTATCCACAGTGAAAAAAGCTGAAAAAATGCCAGAAATTCATTTGATCAATAATGTCACAACAGCAGAGAAAGTTATATATCGTATCCTAGAAGATGAACCTATAGTGGGATTTGCATGTAAAGGAATTGAGATTGGGCCCCATGGTGAGTACCTACCTCTCAGCCAACAAATACTGAGCATTGCGAAAAGAGAACATAAAAACATATCGGCGCTAAAGTTCTTTTTGAAACAAAAAGACAAGTGAATAACACAACATGTTTAACTCAACGAAAGTAGCCTTTCAGAAACTTGTTTTTTGGACCATTATGTCTTCTCAGCATTTAAATTATCACAACTGATGCTACTGGAAATCAACTAGTTCAACTCGACAAATGGCAATTATTTAGCCGGTGAATGTAACTGGGGTTTTAATGAATGAAGAAACCATTGAATTATGGTGAATTATTTATTGAAGTATATATATATTATTTTGATGTTTCAGGGACAATAACTCTAATAGCTATATCGACACCTAGCGGCGATGTATATATATTTGATATTCGAGCAGACCAGAATATTCTTTTAAATGGTGGATTGGTTAGATTAATAGAATCTGTAGATAATGTAAAGGTATATCCCATAGATCTGGAACACTAGTCAGCAATTAACGACTAATAGGCCTAGATGTGTAAACTCGAGCACTTCCTTTTGCTTCGATCACATAGTTGATAATATCTAGAACTCATTAGGTTTCAAGTTTGATATTGTGTCAGATTTCCATCTAACTGCCGTTGGCCTTTTCATTTAACTTTGAGGAAAAGAAAATACAAAATGCTCACATTACAAAATACAGTCGTTTATAGTTTGAATCACGAGCCACCATCTTGCAAAAGGTTGCAAACGAGTTGGTTTCAGTATATATCTTTTTAGAGAAACTCTTACCAGGAGTAAGAATTCCAGAGTGATTTACACTTATGAATGTTTGCATGATAGAAACTGTCAGTGTAGTACTGTTACTGTAGCTTTGACTTACAAAGTTAGATTCCATTCTGATTTTACCTGCCACTATGTTAAATCCATACTTTTGCGCTTAATTTTTTCCCGTCTTGATAGTTGAAGTTTCTGTATGTTTTAGGTCATGCACTCTAGTCAGTTACAGGCATCATGCCTGTTTAAACAGTTTAAAGTTCGACTGAAACAAGTTTTTGATACACAGGTAGGTATGACAACATCGATAACATGATTTCACAAATGATTTCCAATCCAATGTATCCCCTATCTTAGATGTACATATTACATTTAAGACCCATGACATACACAGTGGTCATCGGTCTGACTGTATTTGGCAATTCTCAGCTTTTATAAAGCTGTATGTCGCGGAGCTGTATATAAAAACATTCACGGTATACCATTTCACCGAACTTCAGTTTTGAGGCTTTCACTTAATTTCATGTTTAATTTTTTGTTCAGGAGAAGTATGGAGATGTAATGGTTAAAAGAGGTTTACCTAGACGGTTATTGAGTCTTCCAGCATTATTAGAGAGATATAATATAGACTATTATAAACCTACAGCAAAATTACAGGTGAGAGGCTGGACAAAGTGAGAGAAAGAGTACCAATATATTAAACGTGTTTCAATAACTAAGATGTTCTTTTGAAGGACGTTTGGCAAGAACAACGGAACTGGCACACTTCTTCCATTTCCAACTACCGAGACACATTGACATCCTGCAGGACAAAAGAACAATGCATTATCAGAAAGATTAGAAACTATTAACATCTCTGCCCCTGCAGTTTGAGTTGGATCGACAGTGCAAACAATGTCAGTATCACAGGCTTCTAACGTCCCGTTTTATTGAAGCCGATTCTCTAGCATAAATATAATAGAAACGGACGACATTTCTATTGTCCGTTGTCCGATGCTGGTCCTTCAATGGCTCTTTTTCAAGAACCTTTTTATACTTTGAACAGAGATTGTTACGAGAAGATCGAAATGTTTGGTCGCGCCGTCCTTTAACCAAAGATATTTTGAATACTGCTGCCAGTGAAGTTCTTCCCTTAGTACCTAGTCTTTACGTAACTTTATTCAGGTAAATATTGAAAAAGTGAAACTTCAGTCCTAATGCCTACTTGATGTGTCGGAAACGGAGCCCATGCAGATCCTATATCAAAAAAGGAAATGCCAAAACGGCATTAACCACTCGTTATGTTTTTTCTATGTTCTGGAATCCGGAACTGAAATGTTCAAACAAGAACAGATGGTCCCGATAGAATCTTTCGCAGTTGCAATGAATCTATTTTTCGATTTCAGATGTTTAGGTCTTCACGAAAGCCAACCTGAGAATAATTCAAATTCTGGAGATAAGAGAGAATCTGCACCAATAACACCAGTTAGCACACCACGCACACTTCCGGTTGTTCATACAAGAGCGAACAACCCATTGAAATTACCCACCAACTATTTACATATTCATGTAACACCATAGACCATGATATTCATTATTCTGATACATTTTCTTACTAATTTAGTCAGCATAGAATAGTCATTCCTCAGGTCCGCTCGGGATCGCCTTCAGATGTTGCTTGTAAAAGGAAAAGTAACGACCCGATTTCGTTCAGTTAATATATTTCATGCTTCGTGCTACCACATCAAATGCTTATAGCTTCTTCTTCTTCTTGTTGGTGGATGGTGTCCGCTTCGGAAAAATTCCATATCGCAGACGTTGAGTAGGGCTTGCTTATAGCACGCATTTTTAACTTAAATATAACAAGCACCTTTTCTGCGTCGTCGGTGTTCTTTGATCAGAGTCTATTGTAAGGATACTTTCTATAAGTCTTCGATAACTGCCTTGATTGGTTGGGCTCCTGCTTCCATATATTTCAGATGCAGATCCTTCGACGATCACGATTTTTCTCTTCAGTATTATACATTATATGTGCATCATTGTTATTATTTGTTATGTTGTTACCATTCAATAAAATATGTATTTCTAACAACCAGTTCTATTTTTAATGTCGGTGTGGTGGCGAGAAAGCAAAGATCTTAATCAAATAATTGAACAGGAATATCCCTTTAATTCTTGTAAGCAACAAATAAAAATAAAGGTCGGTCCTATTTTAACTTATTTCATAGTCTGTTGCCCGGTGGCTCAACTGGACAAATGAGAGTCCATAGACTTAAGTGGGTTGGGACCCCACCCCGAGAATTTTTTTTAACATATTATGCTCTTCTGCATTCTGAGAACTCTTTGTTCGCCAATTTAATGCCTGTTAACGGCAGATATCTTAGGGTTGCCCATGGACTTGGTTCAACCATTCCCTATGATAGTTGAGTCACTGCTGTTGCCATTATCCAACGTGAAAACTGAAAAGATCGAAAAACAGAATTATCTATGCCTATCCATTGTTCGAGGATGGTTGATCATGTTCCATACCGATCATGACAGCCACTGCTGTGTAACGTTTTACAAGAGATACTCTAGAAGCACTGGCTAAGGTCACAAATAGATACTATAGATTTCGGAATTGGAATACATCAATATGATAAGAAATTACCTAATTACAACATAAACAAATAATTCAAAAATGCAAAGCGATTGATGATGTAACATTTAAGTTTTTTCGCCGGTTAAAACAATTCTTACGAAAAGTGGTCACAACGCGTTTCTGAAGTGCTGATTTCTACGGATTATCAAGCCTATTAATACATTCGGTAATCATTAATAAGCAGTGAAAATAGTGCCCATTTTGTGGAATTGTACAACCATTTCTTTATAAATTCGCTATCATTAGTAGCAATGAGTGGTTACGTTTTATTCGAAACGGAAGCGGAAAAGCGAATCACGTGATCAAGTATGGCGAGTGATGGAAATGTTGATATCGAAACCAGGAACCGCATCAATATTTTAATGACATGCCGCTTTTGACAGGTGGCTGAGGAGATGAATTTCTTGGAACAACCAAGAAGAAACAAGAAGGATGAAGAAATTATCAAGTTCGGGCACCGAGACAAAACCAGACGTTGATAAAGCAAAGAGAGTTTATAAGTAATCATTTTTTTGACATTTGATTCGCTACAAATTTCTCTTCACATTGATGAAGTTTCTTGGACATTGAATTGAATATGGTTTGCTTTCAAATCCTCTAAAAATATTATTTTTTGTTTTCGGTTGATACATTTCACTTGTGTATTAGGGATATTGATTTACACAGTTCCATTTTCAGTCAGACACCTGTGCTGTGCTGATGTTGGCCTTACACAAACTGGATGATGTTGACATTGTCTTTCCGTACAGTGGTGTAACCTATTTTCGTGGATATAAGGATTCAACACCGAATTTCGTCAAAGTTGAAAAAACGAAAAAAAAATTTATGTCTTAGATGTTTCCTCAGATACTCTACAAAATAATTAAAATTGGTTTATTTCGATTTTCTTTATGAATCCTTCACTTTGACCCATATTTTATGAGCAACCAACTCGGCAACGGCGGCAGGATGCGTCACCTATTTTCGTGTACAATGTTTGATCTATAAATAAGTTGAGAAAAACACGTTGTATAGATACTGGGTGGTATAATTAACTTCTTAGTATTTATCTTTAATATCAATTCATTATAACTAGTGACAATTCCTTCAAAGAAGCACGATTTAAAAAAAAATAGCGACTGACAAAATAAGATACGTAGCTTGATTTATTGCTAAAAGTCACTGAAACAACATAAAAATATGGTCCACTTTGTGTTCCATAGAAATTTTCTGCTGACACAGAATCCGCTAGTTGATCACATGACTTCATTCGTTGGACTACATTCTAGCAGACGACACTTGGAATTCCAATTAGCGCTTGGGATTATAAGGAAATTCGGCCGATAAAAAATGGTGACGTTTGGTAATAAGTGAAATCCGCCATTTTGTATTTGTCAAAGTATACATTATTACACTTTACCTTGCTTGAAACTACTGGATTCATTCTACTAGCTGATATTGTAGAGAAAACCCATGTTTATCAAAACAAACTAATGCAGAGGTGCGCAAGGTCGCTCATGTAAATTATTAATCCTTTCCGGAAATCCGGCATTTAAGGCCCCAGTAAACATTATGACTAGAGCAGCTCTTTACATAACTCTTTGATAAAAAAACAAATTTGAATATGAAAGTGGTATGCTGCATACATCGCAATCACACAGATTCCTTTACTATGTTAGTATGTTTAACAAATTGATAAAGTGCAATAAAGCATGTATTTGTTTTGTTTTTTCATTATAGGTATGCCCTGGATGCAATCAAAAAATTAGATGATATAACAAAGCAGAAGAAGGCTTACAGGGAGGTTTTTTCCCAGGAAAGTGTTGGACTTAGAAATAAGTAAGTTAGTGCAAAAATGTTTTTATACTCGTTCATAAGTTTTAATTTTAGCTATAGCTGTTTGAATATGAACTTAACAACTTTTAAAATGAAAGTGATAGAAATGACAATTTGTATCATGAATTTTTACATTGAAGTGTACTATTGTAGATTAAAGGAATATTGTGAGAGGTTAATGTTCTACAATCCATCTGAATATGGTAGAAAAGCTGAAGAAGTTTTATGGAGAAAAGTCTTCTATGAAATAATTCAAGTTGTCAAACAGAACAAGAAGGTAATTATTGCTACTCTATGATAGAATTATGCTTACAACATGAAATTGATTTAACTATTTTATTGACAATATCTATGAAATCAGGGAACATTGGGATTTAATAAGTTTGATGTACCCTAAGAAAAAAGTTTATAGTCCCCAAATTTTTTCTCAGAGCCATGGGAATTTTGCATCTATGGCACTTAATCATTATCAACCCTGACAGTTACATGAGGCTGTTACCACATCTGATTAAAATGATGAATTCTCCTGCATTGGTCATGCATTGCATTGATATCCACTTAGACATCATTTAGTTTGTTACTTTTTCAACTACTGTTTTTGTTTTCAGCATTTACGCCCACATAGTTCATTACAGACAGCATACAGATCTCATTTAGCATCAGCATGGGGTTATTATCAACATTTACTGTTTAAATTACAACAAGAATTCTCTCTACAGTTAGCAGGAATATTAGACTTCCATATTGTAATAGATTCTAAGAGATGTAAGCTACTTATACATGTTATGATATTCTGTATTTTTCAGTTGGCTTTATTAAAATGTGTTATATTATATATATTTCATTTTTGGATGGTTTATAATGAAACGTCAATTGTAAAGACATTTTGTTCTGCATTTCATACATTCTGCAACTTACCTTTGATAGTAACATGTGTTATTTCTTTCCCAATTGTGTATTAATATTGTTATCTATTTTAGTAAAGAAATTAACAAGTCCTAACAATAAAAAGGTCTCTCAGCAAGTTTTAGAATGGGCTATGAAAGCCTGTCATAGATGTTTAATATGTTTAGGAGATATAGGTGAGCAAGCTTATTTATTGATTTATTTTGAACAAAATGCTAATGTACATAATCTCAAGTCATATGATGCTTTGGAAATACAAGCAAGATGTAAGAAATTTGAAATATGACAGACATGTTGTTTGGAAATGGAGGTTATTATAAAGATGATAAGTCAGATTCTTTTCAAATATTATGGGTTCATCTAACAAATGATTGATTATTTTTTAAGCTCGATATCAACAAGATTTTGACCATGGTGTCAGTGGTTCTATAGCAGAAAGATATTATTATCAAGCTTTAATTTTATTACCTGAATTAGGTAGGTTGTTCTCTTTTAACTTACATAGCTTCCAAGTCTCTTAGTATGAGTCTTATAGTTTATGATAGCTTTACTAAAATTATCTCCAAAAACTGTAATGGAAAGAATGAATGGCAACAAATTGAAACAGTGAACATAATACAGTCTATGACAGTTTATGTGTCTTACAATGTTTTTTTTTACTTCTTTCTTGCATTTATGATGGATTTCTTGAAATATTTATTTTTATTTGACAGGAATGCCACATAATCAACTAGGAACACTATCAGGATCAAGATACTATAATACAGAGGCTGCTTATCATTATATTAGATGGTATGTTTCACATTATGATATTATGACCAAATTTGATCAAACAGAAACCTTGCGTAAGAAAGTGTGTGACTTCATTTAAACAGCAGGTGGCAATTTATTACTTTTTACTCCAATTCTACTTTTATTTTATTTGCAATCTTATGTGAAATTATCATGACCTCATCATGTGCTAAGTGTTGGACAGTTATCTTGATATTGGTTCAATTTCAAGTATTTGAACTAAAGATACTGTATGGTACAGTAAATTACCTAAAGTTATAATCATCAAACATGTTATATCATTTCTTTTATTTTTATTTTCAGTTTATCGAGTGAGAAACCATTTGATGGGGCATTAGGAAATTTAAAGAAATTATTTGAGAAGAACAATAAAAGATATGATGAATTATCACAGCTCAATCTTAATGATCTCAAACCTGATGAAAAAAGGTATGTGTTAGGTTTCTAGCAGGATTATGTTTCTCTTGTACTGATCAGACTGATAAGACTAGTTTCCAAAACCAGACCATACAAAACTAAAATGGACAAATGGCATCTTTAAGTGTTTCCTTTTCCTATTCACAATTTTTGTCGTTGTTCTTTTGAAATTCTCATTGATTGATAATTATATTTTCAGATTAAAAGATATCAGAATGTTTTTTGTAAGATTTCTGCATCTTTTAGAAATTCTCCTAGAACCTTCGAAATCGTAAGTGTATTTTATTTTTATGTTAATAAAACACAGAGTACCAACATTTCCCTTTTTGTATGACAAATCATTGTCAAAGCCTGAAAGAAAACAAAATAATTAATCAGTTTTGTAATTCTAGAGTTAGTATTATTTTAGAAATATTAGAATTGGGTATAAGTGAAGCTTTTTGCAATATCTGAGATTTTTGGGGTCATTTTTTTAGTACTTCAAAGACTTTTTAAGCATTATCATTCTTTGTATTTTATTTTTTGTTGTTAAATTTCCAGTATAGAGAATAGTGAGATGCAGGAAGTTTGTCAAGAAACATTAAAGAATTTTGACCGGTGTATGTTTTATGAACCTGGGGCCTATACTAATGAAGAATATGTAACATTAGAACAGTTACAGTATCTAGATGATGATATTGTATTTAAATTAGTTGTTACATGTATATGTACAATACACCTTCTACAACAAAATGGTATGTAGTTTTCATTTAATGTCTAATGCTCAGTTCACACCAGCGGCGCTTTGATCGCGCTTTAAAGCGGTACCAAAGCGTAACAAAGCTTGACTAAAGCGCCAGGGTCGTAATAGATTGTTGGAAAGCTTTGAGCAAAGATGGATATTCGGCAAGAGCGCCAAAAAATTTTGAACTGTTTAAAAATTTTGGGCGCTCTGTCACGAATTGATTAAAGCGCCGAGAACGTATCAAAGCTTAACAAAGTTCAGCAAAGCTTGACTCAAAGCGTAGGAAAGCTTAACAGAGCTTTATTCAAAGCGGGGAACCCATTCTTCACGGTCTGTCACCACTTGATCAAAAGCGGCATGAAATCGGCCATTTCGAAATTTTCTAATGAGTAACAGAGCTTAACAATGCACAACAGAGCTTGATAATCGTATCAGAGCGTGATTTAAAGCGTCATAACCGCATCAAAGCTTAATAAAGCTTATCAAAGTGTGATTTAAAGCGTAACACGGCCTGATCAAATCGGGAAATAATTCGTCCCCAAAGCGTAACCAATTCGTATCAGAGCTTATCAGAGCGTAGAGATCGTGTTATTTTAGGAAAAGTAAACAAAAAATGATGGCGCTTTGCTCGCTGATTTAAAGCGCAGCATTCGCTGTTGGTGTGAACTAGGCATTATAAGTTGTATTGTCTTATTTTCTTTCTCTAATAATGCTTCCAATTATTTTCTCACTATCTTTGAGAATTCCCACATGGCTTCATGTTTTAAGATTCAAAGATTCAGGTCATTGTCAGTGCCTGTCATACTATTTCTAGCTGAGATTGAAGACTTGTACTTATCCTTATGGCTCTATTATCTTTCAGGATCTAGACAAGTAGCAGCTGCCATAGCTTTCCTATTAGCTATATTCTCTCATATATTAAATCATGTAGTTATCAGAGTACAAACAGCTTTAGATGAGAAAGAAAATCCTAATAAAATACTTCAAACTAGCCAGTTAGGTAAGTACGTACTGATATAAGATTTGTTAAATAATCAGAGGTTGTCCAATACAGAGTTGAAAGATATATGTGGCACAGTCAAAAAAAGTTTCGTTTCTGGATCAAAGTATCAAAGCAAATACTGTCATATTTTGACCTCATATTTGCATAGATGTAAGAGATCTTTTCACCAATAGTTAGCTTTCAAATAATACAGAAATAATAAGCGTTATTGCTTTTTCTGGTCCACCCAATGTTTGTATGAGGCATGTTACTTCCAGACTTTGTCTGGTGATGCCGCAATTTTCAAAGTATATAAATGAAATGTCATAAAGAATGACATTGGTTGATGGATGTAATCAAAGCTATTGTTTGTATTATTATTCTGGTTCTCCATCCTGTTTCTTTGGAGTGTAACATGTCAGAATGAACTCAATTCCAAAGACCCATTATGACTTCATAGATTCGTTCACAGCATTGTTTGAATTTGTTCACAGATGATTCCTCTACAGAGAATGATGATTCTGATGACAATAAAACACAAACGGAATCTGAGAAAACTAATGAGAATTCACCCAATATAGAGAAATCAGGTGGCAATAAAAAGGTGAGTTTGATTGCCTTAATTTGCTAGCTATGTTTACTTACCTTCTTCATTAGATAGTTAGTTGATTACATACTTTTCTGTATCATTTGTGGTGGATGGCTGGTAATTCTTTGGTTCAACACAGGTTGATGTTAGACTTCACAACAAATTTGACCAAGTATCATTGTAATGTAATAATACCCAATGTTTGTATGTTTGCCGCAATTTTCAAAGTATACATTAGTAAGGACTGATAAACTGTTGAAACGATATGAAGATCTAGTTTATTAGTCACAGTCATAAAAGATTGTATTTAATATATACTATTTTTATTGATGTGTTTCTGTGTTTTATAGAAAAGTAAGAGTAGATTAAGGAATATAAGAAGACGGAGGAGAAGAAAGAACAGTGACAGTAGTGAAGTGTCAGATTTATCTGAAGCCTCAGATCTTAGTGAAGGTGAATATTAATATAAATATATCTACTAAATTAGACTGTTGCTTTGCTTCTTTCATAGCTGATCAATTAATCTCATAAGGAGAGATGCTATCATTATTTTTTGTAAATATGTGACGATTCAACAATACTTACCTCTTTTTTGTTATGAATCCATCTGTATTTTTGGTTTTAAAGTTGACATGTATTATGGACTGAAAATAATTTCTTTTCCTTCATTTGATGGAATGATGTTAAATTTTAAATACAGCCTAAATGCAATTATTCTCATCCTGAGCAAAACTATGTAAGTTATCTGACAATTTGATGCTCATTTTTCAGGGGTCAATGATGACAGTTTTATATCCGATGAGTCTGAAGAAGATTTAGTCAGTTATTTTGATCATGATTCAGACTCGGATCTATCAGAAGGTCTGATGAATAGTCAGGAGATCAAACAAGACTTGACAACCAAGACTAACATGGAGGGAGATAACTCTAATCATAAGACGTCTGCTGGAGATTCGAGTAGTAATAATTCATGGTCAGATACGACACCTGATAATCTTGCACATTTCTCATCTAAACTCTTCTCAGCTTCCACGTTTTTAGGCCAAAATATAGAATCTGGAAATCGTAATGATGAAATTGATAAAGCAGAATATGAGAATTACCGTGATGTTATTCAAGGAAAGAAAGATGTCTCTATTCCCCCTGGTAAGATAATAATTGTATCTTAATCTTTTTAGTACAAAATCGGCATGACAATCACATAAATGAGATAAATTTGATCATAAATTATTCACATTATTGACTGTTTTGATAAATAAAGGATATCCCTACCCCGAAAAACAGAATGAATCTAGGCTAGTTGTTATGATTCATTAAATGTTTCTAAAGTGTAAGAAATTACTCAATTAAATTATTTCCATATTCTCAAAGTCTACTAGGCAATCCATTATTCTATTCCGAATTGTGTTATTCTATTGTGTTTAAGTGTCACACTTTCCTGTTTTTTTTTTTTATCTTTTAGGATTTTCTACATCTAGTGAAGCTAAACATGTGGCTGATATCACCAACAAGCTAGCTAATTATATCATAGAGACTGATACAGAAGTTAGTTTAATACCAACAGATACAGGTACCTTTAAAACTTCAGTATATTCTAGTCATTTCACAACCGAAATTTAGGAATTAAAGGGATTGTAAAGAGGTTTTGTATGCTAATTGGGGACACTGATTGCAAGAACCTTTGACGTTTGAGAATTGAGAATACACATCAATTTTTAAGGAAACCTCTTTACATTACCTTTCAGAGTTTTACTAAAAAAAGTCTGGTTAGTGTAAATTTGTTTAATTTTTTTTTTCAATATTTAGATACAGCCTGTACATTAACAGATGAAACTGATGCTCCAGAGAACAGTTCTACCAGTGATGAAGAAAGGTAAGGTGCTTCTCTTTCTTATCAGTAATGGTTTCTGCTCTTTCAGGCACTCTTTGACATTTTGATGATCCTAGATGGTATAGCAACAGATAATCAACCATTTTCATCAGATTATTTGATATGCTTATATTTATTACAATCTAATTTTTTGAGCTCAGCTACAATTATCACCCTTTCAAGCATGGCAGATCATGTTATCCTTACTGAACCCCTAATCCTGCTCTAATTTGTTGACAAATGAGTTTTTAAACTCATTGCTTTATGAGGGAGGCCACAAAACTTAATCATATTAAGTATAATGATGATTTCATCAGAAGTTGATAATCCTATATATTACAGGCCTGAAGCCAACCACCAAAGAATTCAGAACATACTAGATGTATTAAATTCAGAAGGATTATTACCCACAGTAAAGCTCATGTCTGATTGGATGAAATGTCATTCTCATATCATAGATACCTGTGCTCAGGTAGGCTATATTACTTACTTCCATAGAAAACATATTAAGTTGAACTTTTGTAATCAAAAAATCATTTGCAAAAATTAAGACATTAAGGTCAAGAACACCAATAATAATTGTTACAATCATTACCAAGATCTTTGATTAGTTGCAATCGATGCAGTCATAATATCTCGATTTTTTAAACTTCATTTGATCATTCCTTGTTTGACAAACTATGTGGTATACAAGTAAACTGCTTTTTGTTTTGAATTTCAGAGTTCACACTCATTATGGTGTAGATTGTCAGTTTTATTAAATTTTTTGCCTAAAGAACGACAGCTTGTTGAACACGGTGAGTGACCTTTCAATGTAGTAAAACTTATCTTGCAAAGGAATTGGGCAGTATCCTAAGATGTCTATTTTTATCAACATAGGTAGATTCTAATCAATAAGAGTTTTAGTCCACCCTATTTTAAAAAATGTGTTAAATTATGGATGCTGCTGAAATGATAAAATGGTCAGCAAGGAAACTAAAATATCAAAACATGTCTGTTTCAGACCAGTGTTGGTTCAGTGGATTACAGAAAGTTATACTAGACATTCATTCACAAGACTGGAAACAAGTGTATCCACTGAAAGAAGATTATAATTTATGTCAGTTACCTCCCTTAGTAGATGTTCAGGCTGGGATAAATTATGTGATGAAAACGAGGGCCAGTCTAACTGAGATACAAGAGGTTAGTTCACATTCGTATTAAAATGGGGAAAACCAATAGAGGCTGTCATATTGCTCTACCTTTGATTTTGCTATCCCAAAAATACATCAATACATAACATGCTTTTATTGGATAAAATAACTTCATTAAAACAGGATCCATTTGAATCTAAATCTAATTTTGATGAGATTGGACTTCAAATACGATGCAGGAATTCTAATTCTTAAGTTGCTTTTGATCTCATTCTTTCAGACCTTCTTACGAATTGCATCTTTACGACAATTTGGTCATTATCTGTCATCAATAGAGTGTGTAGAGTTCAACTATAAACCTGAGGAAGCCATGTTTTTTGGTCCATCTGTAAATAGCAATGAAGAAGAAACAGAGAAAGCTGCTCAAGATAGAATGGTGAGTTATCTCCCTTACACTGCATTTTAAACCAAAAGTTAATTTGGAAACTCATTCCAATACAACCTGGTAGAAGATTTCTTAATTGTCTTAAATTTAAGAATGTTAGCTGCCTAAAGACTAGTATTATTCTGGCCTTATGGTATTAGATGAGATTTATGTTATATCATATTGAAACATTGTTAGAGGGTTGTCATGATACATTCTTCTTGGGCATACATTTTGGTGCTTGTGTTATAATCTTTACGCACAAAATGGCAGAAATTTGTTGACTTGATATTTGTCATTTTTGAAATAGGTTAGTCAGATGAGCTTGTTATAGGGACTTCCAAAACGACATCAAACCTGTAATAAACTTCCTATCTTTGTATAATGAAAACTTTTTCCCCCCAGTTGCACATTATATAAAGTATGAATGATATAAGAGTGGAAAATAATATGTTAATTAAGAGGAATTTTACAACGGGAAATATGTTAGAAACCTAAAAACAACAGCTTTGCAATTGCTTTGCACCAAATGATAATCGTCAAAATATCTGCCTGAGGCTTGGTGAAAGTGAAAGTAAAAAAAAAATACTATAAGCTAGGAATATAGCTTTTTAAAAACCATATTTTTTCCAGATGGTAATATTTGATTCTTAAATTTTTAACATGACATCACTTCCTTTCATTTGTTATGGAATGTTACCGAAACCAACAAAAAACATGAAAACTTGTGAGGCAATAATATTAGTTTTCACTTAGTTTTCTAACTTGTACAACAGTCTTATCTAACTTACTTGTTATTCTGTATAAAAAATATAAAAAATTGGTTTTAAAGGTTTTTCTAAGATTGTGTTCAAAATAGACAGAAGTAAGTGATGTGTGAAACAGCCAAATATTTAGTGACTAATGTGAAATGATAATACCAATGCCTTTGTTCTGTTTGAAACTTAAGTTGTAGTCTAGAACAATGAGACTCTAAGCTGTATGATGTAGTCACATATGCCGAGTATAACAAAACAGCTCTGGTTTCTAATTATCAGACTGAGGGCTGATATGATGCTGGTGAATTAATCAGGGATATCAAATACCATATCCCCCTTTTTCTGTCGGTCAAATTACACATAAGTGTCAATCAAGTATGCAAATTATACCATTTGATGAATTCAAGCATTGATTGGTCAGAAATTACAGCCAATCAAATTAGTGAGTTTAAAGATTGAAATTACTGTGGCAGGTTATTATTAGTTTACAAAGCAGGAGAGCTCTAATTCCTCTGACAGGCCTGTTGTTCATCTAAACACAACTAATGAAGGATCTATTTTTAGAATGACATATTTATGACTATTTGTAACAAATGGCAACTATGTAATTATTGCAACTGTTAATTAATTGATTTCTGAATAATTTATTGAGATGACATGAAATATAATGATTTACCAACTCTTTGCCTGATTGATGAAATCAGCTTTGAATAGCTTAAAATGAAAGTACATTCTACTAAAATACATACCAGTTCACATATATAGTTAGTAATTTATCTACAGTGTGTTCTCATATTGTCAATAAAGAGAAGGAAAGAGTTATCAATTTGTTTCAATTAGTTCAATTCAGAATTATTACATGCAGTAATTACTTTAAATGACAATGCTTTAAAGTTTAAAAAAAAATATTAATTATAACAAGATATTCAATGAATAGTGCTGTACTTTAGTTTAAACCTCGCATATACTGATAGCTCAGCAGCCCCGTCGCTAGGAATGAATTGGTTTTTGTACAAAGACACTAAATGAATCAATCTCTGCTGATCTGAAGAAAGTTTTGTTGGAGTTTAATTCTCACTTGCTGGGGCCCAGCCCCCATGGACCCCACCCTAACGACGGGCTGTATCTCAGTCTGTATCTTTGTCTCTTCAACATGTGTGGCATTACTTTCATATTTCTACTGTGTTTCACTCTATAGCAGGTAAACTTCATATTAGGCTCATATTTGGGACTAAGTTAATATTCATGATGTTGCATGGTATTCAAACCAAACAATCAACACTCTTCTACATATATTTATTTCTAAAGTCTGTTTTTTGAAAAAATTAAAATGCTTGAAATTCGTGAATATTATTATCAATGATTGCATGCAAGGTGGTTTTCATTGGTTAAAATAGAATTGATCAAATTAGTAAAAATTCTTTTTGGATAAAGTGATGCATGGTCCCATTTACTTTATAATAAGGGAGTTGGGTTATGTTATCTTATGCTATTAAGTGCCGTTGTTCAGTGTTTCATGAGTCGACATGGTATCAGCTCTTAACTCTCTCTCAAAAGTTTTAGTCAACTGACAGTAGTTTGTTAACCAAAATATATTGATTGTTAACTCTGAATACACAAAATGTAAAGAGAGAACATATGGCTAACATTTTATACTGATTAAGCTTCATATAAAATTACACTGGAAACATTCTGTCTTCTCTTTATAACTCCCACATGAAAGATAGAAGGAAACTTGACAAAAATGTTGGCAATTGTTCTCTTAGTCTGGTGTGGTTTGTCGACATCAAAAACTATTTATGTCAATGACTAAAAGAATTACATCTGTATAAACAATTTGTTTCACTTTTCAAGTGAATTATGTTTTTCTGTGTTTTTATTGTAAACATGCATATCAATTATAAATGCTTGAAATTTAAAAGCCCTGCTTGTAATGAATTTCTATAAATACAGACTCTTTTTATCTGGAGGTGCTAAAAGATTGGTGGAATATTTTGATAGGTGATTGAGTTATGGTAAAATAATAGAGGTATATTATTTCTAGATGATTTATATCTTTTTGAAGGAGGCCGAAAACTGTGTGAATATTATTCCAAGAATTTCTAATACATTTGTTAATATGCAGAGTATGTCATTGAGCTCATAATTGATTTATGAATAATATTTTACTAGGATAATTTTCAAATGATATTTACATGACACTTTCATCTTTTAATTGCCGTTTCCTGTTATATTTAACATTGTTTTATTGAATATGTTATATGGTTGGCCAATGGAGGAATGAATAATAGCATAGTGAATATAATTATATTAACAGTGGATGTTTAGGATATAAATGACAGTAAATGTCCTCTTCCAGCAGATTCTCATGTCACAATATAGATAGTTGTTGGTTAATGTAGAAGTTGGTCGTTGGATCTGGATCAATTGGGTGGTTGGTTTGGTGGTTTGGAATGGGAGTATAAATATATGTATTATTGCTGTGGTGGTGATGAAAAAGTATTAGTTAGGTTGGACAATGACTTAATAATGATCCTAATAAAGTTAATTTCTGTTTATTAAATGGTAAATTATGGTGAAAAATATTAATCTCACATTTATTTAACAATTAAATATTTTATAAAACATTTAAATGCATTTTATTCATCAATTCAGACAAACCTGGCTAATTTGGTTTAATCAACATCCCTCATTTAACCATTATCATGACTTGCCATGTAGGTAAAATGAATATCTATGTGTTTATGTTATATTTTGTATACTAGTTGAGTTTACTGTAAAAACTGTGTGTTATTTGATGTTATTGAGGTATATTTGGTTTGTTATTTTTGGCAAACAACTCAATGTCTATTCATATGATGGGGATAAATTTCTACACTAGATATATTAAGAAAATATTTAGAAATGTAAGATAATATGTGAGTAGATTATGTTTAGTTTTGGGTGGGTAAAAATAAGATGAAGTTTATATTGATGGAGATGATAAGGTTATGATGTAAGTTAGGTCATGTCATGTGATATTTATTCTGATTCAATACTAATTGGTAAATATCTTTTTAGGTGGCTTTTTTATTATTTAACTTGTCAATATGCAATGAAGTTAGTCACTTCTATTATCTTTAAATGACATTAGAAAGTAGAATGTACACTAGACACTAGAAATTTAATCATTATTATGGATATACTATTATTGTAATTCTGTTTAAGCTCGATAGATATTTCTGTATGGGAAATGAAATGTTACTAAATTAAAGAAAGGAGAAGGTATATCCAGAATAGTGTTGTTATTTACAATTCCTCAAAGTAGAATTTTACTAGTAATAGAACATTTTGTTATTTTGATTGAAACCAAATGTCATGGATTTCTTTATAATAATTTATTTGTGGATTCTTTGTCCACAGCATTTAGTGTTATTTTGTATATTTCTCAGGTTTTTAATATGTATTTGTCATTATATATTACAGAGAGAAGATGATAGAAGAAGAAATCAGTTAATGAAAGATATGGCTCAACTTAGACTACAAGTAAATTAACATATTGTTATGATTATTATAATAATTGTCTACAGAGATATTGAAGCATGGGCAATATGAAGCAACAATAAATTGGTTATCATTGGATCTGATTTGTTCATAAATTGAGTTTTAATTTTGATAGCATACTATTCTTGATTTTTATACTAGTATTGTAAATATCCAAATAGTGCAGAAATTGAAAGTAAATTACATTGTATTTATGTGCATTGTCAAATAAAATATTTTGAATTTTGCCTTTTAGCCTGATCTTGTCTGATTAGCAAATAAATATGAATCAACAGCCTGATTTAAAGCCAGTTTTCATAATTGACTTAAGATGGCTTAAACATTAAAATCGTCCAATGAATTTAGTCCTTATTCTGAGTGAAATTTATAATTAAGAATGATATTTGATTATGTTGTAGGATGAAGTAAACCAGTTGGAAGGATCGTTACAATCTCCAGATCAACCAACATTTCCTCCTTATATCATACCAGATACTACCACACTGTGTACATCATTACAATATATTAAACAATTAACACAGCTAGGATGCAGTATCATTATAATACCTCTCTCTGGTTAGTATATATTCAATGATATCGCTCTATGTATTTCTTAATCATGTTTTCATAACTTATTTTCAAGGTTTCGCTAAGACATATTTTATAGAGAATTTCATTATATGGATAAAGATTGTAGACACCTATTCACATTTGTTTATCAAAATAACTATTGTTTCCTGCTGTTTCAACTGATTTTATGAAAATATGAAATCGTATTGATATTTAAGTATAAATTGAAAGTAGAGTGCTTGCCTTTGTCATTGAAAATGGAAAACTCTGTTGCTTTAGTTTTAAAACAATTCATACAATGAGTAAATATTTTTTGGTATATTCCCCTACCAGTATTTATATAAGCAACAAAACAAACAGTATTTGATTGTGATCTTGCATTTTTTCTATCAATATTTGTAGTGATTGATGGTTTAGATTATATCAAGAAAGAAAACAGTAAGTCAAGGGAAGCAATTAGATGGTTAGAGATGGAATTCAAAAGAGGAAATAGGTTAGTTCACTTTAATAATATAAGGTCTGATATAGGGGTAACATGAATGTCCAAATACTCCTGTGTGCCCAGAAGAAATTGTCAATACATTCATCGTGACTTGTATCATTTGCAACTATCTATACAATAATGTATTCCAAAACCGTAAGCATGATCACTCTGGTCCATATTTGCTATCCTTGGTTTCCGTAATATTTAATTTTGATTAATAATTAGGTATATCAGAGCTCAGAAAGGTCAAGAAACAGTTCATGGTGTTAATGTTAGAAGTTTGAAGAAAAGTAAAAGAGATATTTGGTATGTTAAATCTTTAATGTAGAGATCTAGCAACAGTTCACTCAGTTAAAAAATCAGGAAGGTATCACCCCCTTCACCTGTGAACTGTAGGGCTACTAGCAGTGTGTAGACTGACTTGTCTTAGCTACATAATGTTCAGATAATTTTAGTCTTAAACATGATCTGTACAACACATGCTTACTCAACAGATTTGTCCACTTGGCAACTCATTTTCAGAGTCTATAGTTAACAATACTAATGTGATGATTATATTGCAATGTGCTCTCTACACCTTATTATCTGTTAAGTTTCCTTGTATATTACAGGTGTTTATTAGAGCTGTCTGGATGTGCCCAGTATTTTGCTAGGCAGACAGGATGTATATCAAATGGTAAACTGGTGACTGTGATATTAGGACAAACAATGAACACTGATAATTTGCCTCAAACTGTGAATCAAGTTATAACAACTACTCAACAACAAGGTAAGGTGACAGTTTTCCAGATATTACAGTATTGCTAATAATTGATGATTATATTAACAGATTATTAGCACAAGTTAAAAACAGGATTTTAAAACAGTTTGATACACACATACGAAACCACATTCCTGACCTAGTTAATATACTTGGATCATACTTCTTGAAAAACGTGGCTCAAATTAAACTACCGTCACTGTTCTAAAGAGGAAACGTGAGGTTCTTTTTAAGACAAAGTAAAACAAAAGTAGTATCTTAATTTCATTTCAACAGTTTGCATCAAACCAATGTTGTTTGAGTGAATTACCTGATGAATCCTAGTTTATAAAATGAAGCAAAAAATCTATTGTTGAATCTGACTTTCAGTCTGTGGATGCCACCATTTTAATTAATCACAGACCATTTTGTGATTTTGCTGATTCAAATTTACGCATAAATTCTATAGCATTGTATACATGCAGCCAATGAAAAATATAAGTATACTACCAGTTATTTGAATGCTTAATGATTTTGACCATTCAAAAAATTTCACAAAGTTAGTCTGCTGTAATTATTGAAATGCAGTCAACTAAGCTTGTGCCTGTAGTTTTTATGTAAGAATCAACTTTCATTCCAATTTCAGAGTTTCCCAATGAAATAGATCAATTTTAGTGGGTAAATTCATTACAAATATATTTGATTATATGGTAATCAGGGGTGTATTTAAATCAGATGATACATGTATATTTCTCTTACAGGAGTTTGTTTTGAAAATATCAAAGACTTCATACAGAAATGGAAAGATGTATTCAAAAATAGCGGCTGAAGAATCTGGTTGATCTAGTATGGTTTATCATATCTAATCATCATGCAGAATAATTCAGAATGATGGTCGTGGCGTCTAAAATCAACTATCAACAGAATGACGAAGGGATCTCCAGCACTTTCTAACAGTAACAGATTCACTCTTTTATCTTGAAGATAATAAATGAATGAGTACTAAAAGGAAGAAATCTAAAAAGCTTGAGAACAGAAAATTGCCAATTCTATTCCGGTTAACATATACAGACGACAAATGTGAGATGCAATTCCCTGTGAAATTTGAATTTTCAATGTTGACATTCTGCCAAAGGTTTACAAGAGATAATGACCTAGGTTTGCTACACATTGTAAGTAGTAATGACCTAGGTTTGCTATACATTGTAAGTAGTAATGACCAGGGTTTGATATACATAAGTAGTAATGACCTAGGTTTACTTACTTGTAAGTAGTAATGACCTAGGTTTGCTATACATTGTAAGTAGAAATGACCTAGATTTGCTGTACATTTTGAACAATAATGACCTAGTTTTGCAAACATTGTAATTAGCAATGACCTAGGTTTCAGAACATCACAAAGTAGTAATGACCTTGGTACCTGGATCTGCTATAGAAATGAAGGATAAATTAACATTGATTATTTGATTCCACCCTATTATTAAGTCATGATTGTCTTCTATCAGTTTGTTAGTTCTAATTAGTGGAGTCTGATAATTGATTCTGTAATTAGTGTTCATTGTATATTAAGCCATAACCCATATTACATCCTCAAATGTTCTGGATGACCTGTGATTGCAAACTCTATTCATTCTGATCATAACTGGCTAGCTAGATAGCAGAAATTTGCAAGGCATTTTATAGGCATAGTGTACCGGCAATATATTAGACACCCCAAAAATCTATAATGAACTACTGCATGTATGTATTTTCTTGAATATATTTCCATGTATGTTCCTGAAAACAAAGGGTTTTAATTTTCCATACCCTTTTATGTCACGAATGCTTTATTCCAGTCCTTGGTAAAAATTTCTATTATAGCATTTTTTGGCTTGTCTTTATTTAGTCCTGTAATCTGCAAAACAGTTGAAAATATAATTCCACGTCAATTTATTTATGTGGTAATGAGAGAGAGAGAGTACAGAAACAGCATCTGCATAATATTATTGAGTATTGAGATGTCCTATCTATTATTAGAGTTTTTATTTTCTGAGGGATCTTCATCTTCACGATGACTAGCAATTACAAACTGTATCTAGCACCTTGACAGCAATACACACTTTTCATATGTCACAGTTGGTTCAAAATGCAGCAATTTTATTGAATTGAAGGCTAGCAAATAAAGCCAAAGTCTTCCAATACATGTGCAGTGAAGTCACATTGTTTACAGTTTTTCTGTCTAGGGCTATAATTGGCATTATTCGCCTGTGTATGATCCAATCAAATCACTACATTTACAAACTACATGTACTGTCTTACAAGAAAAGCGCCTAATGATGTCCCTGTAATAGACATGGTTTGTAATAGCTTGATATTTTGGAGATAGTCGTATTATTGTAGTTAGCTCCTTGACCTCAACTAGGATTCAGTATTGTATCCATGAATATGCATAGTTAACAAACAGTAAAAGATGAGGATGAATATAGCATTTTGTACATGGCTGAAATATAAATATGGTAAATCATCTCTCTCTGAAGATATCAAATTAAAATAATCTATATATTGTATTGACTAGACAATTTTTCATTATTGAGTTCATTACATTCTAATTAGTATGTAATTATAGTCTTTAATTATGATAATTTTAATAATCAATGATTGACAAATTGGTTTCTAATGTTGGCTTTGTGTATTCTTTTAAAGAAGACCTATTAGCACTAACATATTTTGTCTTCAAATATTTTATTTTAAATTCATTTTACCTTTGTTCTGTAGTATATGACTTGAACAACATTTAGAAGTGAGGAATCACAAACAGAAGATAATATTATGGAATAAGCACACTTCTTTAATAAAATATTAAACACATGATATTTCAACATAAATAACACGTGTCGCCCTAAGACGAACAAATTAAAAAATGTTTTTCGTCTTATGACGACAGGTGTAATTTGTGTTGAAACATTTTGTGTTAATATTTTATTCTTATTCTATAATATTGTCTTGTATTTGTGATTTGCTCTGTAACGCGTTGAAACTGTAGGTGACTTTTTATTGATATTACAGTTACAAAAGTAAGGCTTGTAAGAAAATTCTTAATTTTTAGTTCTTAATGAGACCGTCGGAATAAAACAGAATTCTTAATGTGGTATTTAATATAATATTTATATTATTGTATTATTTAATAATAATCTTATATATTTGATGTTTTCTCATGTCATGGTCAATATTTTTGAGTATAATAGGTTAATCTATATAGCTTTATTTTAGCCTTACAAAAAGTTTGAATGAAAAATCCCCATATTTCCCATTTTGATATCAGATTTTTGATATCACCTTACATAACATATTATTCCTTATATGGTGGTTTTGGTTTTTGGTGATGTCATAAATCTCATATCAAAATGGTAGTTACAGTTAAATACTGCACTTCCAATGAACAGAAATATTGATTCACCGAACTACTCCTGGCTGCCAGTCCATATTGTTTTTTGAAACTTGGACCAGCACTAGCCAGGTCTGCTTTAGCTATGATTGAGACAAAACTAGACCCTTTCATTAATGTCAGCCAGCTTCGCTTTTATTTTTAAGTTATCCATGTCCAAAATTGTTAATTTTTGTCATTTTATTGTTGTTTTATGTTGGGAGGTCAATATAGTGAATAATAAAGTTGTTTCAATTACTTAAGTCAAGCGTGAAAAGTATTTTATTGTGGTCTGGAAACAAGATTTACTTCCCTTACACCACTCCATAGAAAAATGGTCCTACACTCAGGTCTGGTTATCTTCTTTCGGTTTGTAAAGATTTAAACCTACCATATTTTTTGCAGCCTTATATAAAATGCAATTGAAGACATTTTCCTCGAGGTAGACTTTTGCCCCAGGTCCTGGAAATGGTGATTTTTAACTCTGAGGTATTATAATCCTCTTCTCTCCACTACAACCAATTCATATTGGCACTTTCATGTTTGCCGATTGTAACCTAATTAGTGATTAAAAATGTCACACATGATATTATGTCAATGGAACGAAACTTTAGTTTTCAAACATACTTAGTTAAGAAAGAGCATGACACGGGTTTTTATTATTCATGAATAAACATGGGCCTACTGAACAATTTATCAATAAATAATGTTTGTTTTATAAAATATTGTAAATGAGTGAAACAAGAACCTTGTAATAATGTTTGACAAAAAACTCTCTATTGATTTGAGAGTTTGATTAAAACATTTCTTTCACTCCCATAGACAGATTTCCATTGATTAGCCGTTGCCTCGAGCTGTAGACATGTGCTGGCTAAGTAAATAGGTGAAGTGAAGTGTTTATTCTTTGACTGGTCAGCCAATATTGACTTTAGTATTGGAAGTGATTAGATAAATAGACATATATTAATAACAATCGGGAGTGTATAATAACTATTATAAATCATTCTATACTTTAACAGAACACTCTACAACACAAGGTAAACCTCTATTGAACTCAGTTTTCACAATGTTTGTATAATTGTTTCTAATTTGATTCACATCATAATGGATTCGGGAAAAAATTTAAAGTCGACTTCGTGTTGACTGTAAAAAAACAAACTGGTATAATAAAAAAAAATCTTAAGTCTTGAGGGAAATTCAAATCTGCAACCAATGAAAGTAAACATCAATTTATTCAGTTCACATTATGTTTTATATACAATATATTCGCGTGTATAATGCGCAGTTAAATGACATAATTACTGGCAAAGAGTACAGATCATGGTATAAGAAACTGCTTTAATCTAAAGGGGCATCGATTCCGAAGCACTAATTTATTCAACAACTAAGTTAAATTGACTAAAAAAAGTAAATTCCAATTAGCACAGAAAATATATTTTTTCTGTATACCATATATTTGCGTGTATAATGCGTAGATGTAGGCCTCTAAGTTGGAAGGACGGGGATATTACCTATCATATTTAATCCGGATATCCCTTGACAGTGGTGAAGGTCTGAGGGTTTGCATGTTGATCACGTGCATGATCGCATGGAACAACAATTCAGTTCCCAATGTGCCGATGTTAAAGAATCCTCGGTTTTAACTTCCAACTTGAATAAAAGTCATTAAGAGTATAGGAATGGTGTAAAAGTGCCTTTAGGTTAGTGTCACGATAACGCAACAAGGGAAATAGATTGTCAGTACCACTATTGTAAATCGCTTCAATGGTTCTGACAGTTTGTACAATAACCTAATTCCAATGTTCCCACTAGGATAATGTTGTTCTCAATACTGTTTTTAAAAAAATAATAAAACGTTGATTTAAAGAAGGATATCGAGGAGACAATACCGGATACCGTGGGCAACCTCGACAAAGATTATACAAAGATATAAAACAAAATGGCATAGAACTATTTTCAAGTGTTTGGGTTTTATTTTGCCATGTGAGTAAATAATATTTTATCACTTCAATAAAAATGGTGTATGGCGGTTGAATTTTATCATATAACAACTCAACTTTGAACAATCAAGGAATGGTTGTATTACAGATCTAGATTTGGTTTTGTTACAAATCTGAATTTGGTTGCTATATAGATCTAGATTTGGTTGTTTTACAGATCTAGATTTGGTTTTGTTACAGATCTGAATTTAGTTGCTATACAGATCTAGATTTGGTTTTGTTACAGATCTGAATTTAGTTGCTATACAGATCTAGATTTGGTTGTGTTACAAATCTGAATTTGGTTGGTATATAGATCTAGATTTGGTTGTTTTACAGATCTAGATTTGGTTGTTTTACAGATCTAGATTTGGTTGTTGTACAGATCTAGGTTTGGCTATTCGGTCTATCTAGATTTGGTTACACTCTCTATAATTGGTTGTTTTCATTCGATTGGTTGTCTGGTTTAACTATTTGGAGTAAATTGATCGATTATTTAGATTTCGTTGATCGGTCCCTCTGGATTAAATGACTTCGCCCTAATTGGTTGAACAATACATATATGTATACATTTCGTGGTGTTGGCTGAACTATCTAGATTTAATTGAAAGAACTGCCTAGATTTGTTTGGTTGGAGTATCTTGGTCCAATTTTTCGAACTGTCTAGATTTGTTTGGTTAGACTAGCTAGATTAAGTTGGTGAACTGTCTAGATTTGGTTGGTTGAAGTATCTAGATTTGGTAGGTTGAACTATCTAGATTGGGGATTAAAGGCACAAACACTGGATTGAAATAATCTCATATTTGGCGTCTATTATATTTGGTTGAACTATTTAGATTGGGTTGGTATAACTGTCTAGATTTGGTAGGTCGAACTACTAGATTGGGTTGGTTGGACTGTATAGATTTAAAAAAAATTATTGTTATGAATAAAGTATCAACTATTATAAGTTTGCCAATTTCAATTTTTTTTTCAGATATTCTAAGTGTCTAAATATATACATATATTATTCATGTTTCAAAATTGTTGATTTTGCCTATTTTTGGAAAGCGATTGAAGATAATCTCCCTGATTATTGGTGTTGAAAATATTTTCAGATCAATTTAGAAAATGATATTTATAAGAAAGAAGATTACAAATCACTCGATAACTATTCATTACAATAGCTTATTGATATAGTACAATGATAAAACCGGGCAATATTAGAAGATTACGTTAAGTCAAGCATCGGGGATTAAAGGCACAAACACTGGATTGAAATAATCTCATATTTGGCGTCTTTCCAATCGTGACAATTATGATAATTTATTCTGGTTAAAGGGTGTCTCTAATTCCAGTCTATTGTGTTTGCCACCCATCTGTCACCGTAACAATGAATGGAAAAGTTTCATATTTGTTCAATTATCAAAATTAAATTGATACATTCATGCGTAAGCCTGGTGGAACGAAATTTTGCCGCACTGGAAATTATTTCAAAAATCTGATATATAGACTATATTAAAGTCACAAGGTATATTTAACCTCATTCTGGACTTTGAATTGATCATTGTATGTGTATGAAGCTGTTTTAAGATTGGTTTTGATTTCATTATCAACATTCGTCTTCTTCTTTTTGAACTATGTCGCGTGCGTACGCCCATGTTTTTCAGTTCCATGGAGACACGTTTCATTCCTTCGTTTCCTTTCATTGAGACGTCTGCGAATGTCTGGATTCTAATGTGAACGGTTGCGTGTCGTCCTTTGTTTAGGTGAAAAGCGTGACAAGAACATATTACAGCTAAAAAAATGGCTTTGGAAAACTGGTCTGAGATTTAATATATGCATAGAGCTGTGTTACAACATTGTCCACTTCCATTTTGAGCATCTGATATCTGCTGTTTATTTATTAATGATGAAGATAGCAACAGAGATAAGGTAAAGGGCCAGAAGATTAATCTCCCTTTGGCCTTCAGGGATTTTATTCACGTGCTAATTAATTTCCAACTTTCTTCCTGTGTCTTTAATTATTCAAAAAGTCTATTTTCAACTTGTACGTCTGGAATCTTATTGAAATGGCGGTAATTTTTATTCGAGGAATGATGTGAATTAAAATCAATATAAAGACATTTTAGAAATTCTACATGTGAATAATTACATTATTTTTATAATTATCGCAGTAATTAGATTTCGTTTCTTCTTAGATTTCTAACCAGGTTTTTCCACTTACCACACAAGTAGGCGGGGTTTATTTTGACAGCTGAACATCAAAACCACGAGGGTTAGATATCATTTGGTTATTGAGACTAATTCTGGGAGGTGGTTTTGAAGTATTAAGTTTGTGATCGGTTCAACGTCTTTACTTTTCATGTTACCAATTGCTACGAATTGACAGAATTGATAGCATTGCAGAGTAAATGTGCTTTCAAGCTTTAGGCATAGCTGCTCCGTATGCCCCTAATAGGGCCTACATGTTATCTGCATGTATAGCTGCGAATTTATGTGGATGTTGTGAAATAAAGCATAAGTATTCAATTCAGAATTTATCTTTTCACTTATTTTTGCACATCTAGAAACTCTAATTAGGATTTTATGTCTATTTTAAAGTATTTCGCAATATCGCCATTTCCATTCACGTGCTTTTGATTGACAGTAATTTATGTACAAATTTCCTTATTTATGTACAATTATTCACAGAAAGTCAGGTGACTCAGCTCTCTGTGATATCTGATTGGTTGAATTGGTGTGAAAAGTGTGAATATTATATTAACCCACGTGGGGTGAACTGTAAAAGGTGTGGTCAAATTGACCAATCAAATTGCGAGCCTAATCTTGGAAAATATTCGCCCTTTCTATTGTTACTGAGGCAATACGGCGTGTAGAATTCTACTGAGTGTGTGGCTTTGAAGGTTGTGTTCACAAGACCTAATTTTGTGTATATTCTGTGTAATATTGGACTCTTATACTGCCCTGAAACATTGGATATTACTGGAATTGATCCGAACACTTTCCAACGGAATATAGTCTACGTTATAATCTTCTAATGTGTTCTGGTGGCATCTGCCCGCCGCATGACTTGGGTTTCAACGATGGTTAATTGAGTGCTTTTCTTACGGATTTGACCTTTTAGAATTCGTGGAGGGATTTAGCTGAATTTCACTCAGTATTTTTTACAGTGAACGTTGATCAGAAGAAATAATAAGTTGATATCAAACGTTAACGCCTCGAACTGAGGGCGGGGACTACAACCATGTACCCTAACCGTCACCCTGTAAGTGTAATAATCTTCTTGTATTGTAATTTCGACTCAGCCGTCCGTTTCTGTTCTCGCTCTTTGTCTTCGTAACCCGCTTTGTGTCTTCCCGGGAGAAGTGGGCTAGCAGCGGAGGTGAAAGAACGTACCATGAATTCTCCAGGTTTTAGTCGGCCTGTATGTTTATTTTAGCTTTTTCAAACGTATTATTTATTGAATGTGGATTATATAGTAATGTGCTTGATATACAAAGTATACATTTTTCTTCCTAGGGACCACACCAACCAGGCCAGCCTATAAAATTTACAGTATCAGAATCATGTGATCGTATTAAAGAAGAATTCAGTTTTCTCCAAGCCCAGTATCACAAGTTAGTAGGGTTAAATATTTTGTTTAATGGATAATATTACAAAGTTCAAGATGTATAGATGTTGTGTGTATATTTATATATAACATGAGTCACTCTTAACACCCAGTTACAACTGCTCATTTCTTGCTGGATCATTAATGCAAAAAGTTGTTGAATTTAACATAATTTTTTTTACAGTGAAAGGTGGTTAAACTATTATTACATTAAGAGTATAATATATCACTTCAGTATTTCCCACCAGTTATTAAGAATCAGGTCAATATCACTGATATACCCCACTTCATACACAACAGTAATGTTATGACCCACTTTCTACCTTATCATGAGTTTTAAAGTTGTTTTGAAGTGTAGTTGAACATTTCCCTCCCCTTTTAGCATATTGATAGATATTTCAGCTTAGTCTGAGTATTGTAAGCTTAGTGCTTAAGCTTATTATTGAGAAATCCTGAGCTCAAAGTAACAATGCTCCATGAAAGTCAACATGAAATTGATATTGTGTCTCAGTAGTATATCATTGTTGCATATTGTTACTATTGTCATCACTGTTAAATCTTTATGTACCATATTCCTATTGCTGATACTTTCAGCATGAAAAACTGTTAGATCATTTGAATTCATGTCACATGTGATTAACCATCTGTTGAAGCAGAGAGTTAGAACTGGTCACATGTTGGCGTTGGATTTGATATTCATTTCATTTTGTACATTTCATTGGTTTACAATAATGATAGGATCATGCGTAGAAAAAGGAATCATTTATTGAAAAAGTTAGATGAAAGACTCATTTCCTTTCTTATAGAGCATGTGCTTTACACATAATTTTATTCCCATAGCATAACCATGGATCAATAAGTAAGCAAAAGCTTAAAACCTGTTGAGCTACCATGGCTCCTTATTGTCAGTAGCTGGTGATACCTAAAACGGTTTTAGCACTTATTCTGATTGTCTTTCAAGAAAGTCTGATCTTCGTCCAGGTGACAGAATGTTTGGATTATCACTAGAGTAAAAAACCTTTCTAATCATTATTGACATCAGGAGCCAAATCCTGTCATCCATTTTATTAAATTGACTGTTTCCATGGGAACATATTTTTTCCAGTTTAGTGGTTGTAATATTTTTTCGATTAGATTTGTCACTCATTACATGAATTATTAATGGGTTTATTATGATGACATTTCCAGTCTGGTGAACTAGTTATTTCTGTCCTTGTGGCTCTTGGTATATGCTGGACAAAACAAGTTTCAATTTCACTTTTACTCCCTCCAAGGACATCAGCTGTTTACTATATTTATGATGTTAATGCAATAATCAGACGAATTGAAACTGGTACATTCCAGTGGCTGTTGTGAAAATTATCAAAACATAAAACCCCAAAACAATGCAGTTGAACACTCTCCTGTGAGATTTTGTTAGTTATTTATTTTTGTCACAAAGCCTGTATAGCAACTGAGGTTCACAAGGATCCTGAAAGATGCCTATTTACAGTTGGATCAAGTGGAAGAATTAGGAAAGATGTCTTTTCAAGGTTATCACTCTTTCAGAAGCCAAACATCAATAACATCCATAGTTTAGGAAATAATTTAATCTGTTAAAAATTTAGATTTAAGATCAATTTTATTGATTGATCAATAAGATGAAAAGAATGTTAAAATCAATTGTGAATAAGGAACCAGGTTGGCAAGGATATCCTGCTTTGAAAGCAATATGGTGTCTTGATGTAGGAGTTTGTTTCACCCCATGGTAGAAAGATTTGGTAGAGTGTTAGGTTAAGATGATAAATAAGTTCTATATTTAAATATCATTAGTTTATGAGGAAGGAAATGACATTTCTTAATTTGACAGGTTGTGATTCTATCAACTCTGTATTAAATAATTATACTTTAGCTTCAAATAGAAGTTAATATAGGGTGGAGTTTCTTGCTAGAGTTTACAATTCTGTACCATATTTAAGAAATGTAATAACTGATTATTAGATGTGCAAGCATCAAGTATGACATTGTTGCTGGACATTGGACATGTAGTTACTAAAGAAAAGACAACATTTTGAAAATGACTTTGCTGGAATTTGTCCCATGATACTCTATTGCATGATCCAGCATGGTGACCTGGTGTTGACACTGTAGATGCCCCATTTGTGGTTGACTTTGGGACAAGAAATTGTGGGTGGTAGGATGGGGGGTATTTTAGTTTTAGAAGACATTTGAAATGAAATAAGCTAGTTCATGCAGAAAATGTCAATGTCTTTGGGTGTAAACTGTTGGGTTTTTGTAAAGGCCATCTTCCTACTTAAGACCATACCTACCACCCTGCCAAATATACTGAGCATCACCAAGGCATATCATGTACACTTTGACCACCTTGTCTTAGTTTAGATAAAGTATTAACCCTTCAAAACAGACTGATATCACAAGGTCAAATGTGAAGCAGAATTTGAACCTTATTTGAATTATCTTGTTTACCTTAATGATGTATAATCTCAATTGGTATTGTACATGTATTTGGTATATTGTTGGTGGTGAAATTTGACCTCTGACCCTTCAAATATGAATAATTAGAATAACATTTAGCAGAAGACTGTATATTATGATTGTCTTGTAAGCTCCTGCAGAATCTCAGTCTGGTTTCTTTGTGGCAGAAGAATTAAATTTGAATGGATTAGGAAGGGTAGGCTAGGGGAAATTACAGCCACCAGTATTGATTGGTTGAGAGGAAATGGATAAGACAGATCTAAAGTCTATTGAATGATTAAAGGGGAGCTATGAGATATCACTATGTAATCTAACAGTATTAATGACCAAAGACAATTTTAGTCGATACTTGACTAATCAAACAAGTATGACTGAAAATCTTATCAACAGAACAATCAACAATATTATCAAGCAAGTACAACTTGAGTGTATGATAGAGATACAGTGCACATGACTGTGATAATGAAATCAAGATACATGTGATTGAGATTAGCTGTAAAATGCTAAAGTATTAGTTTGAAGTGTGCAGTATGTTATTAGTATAAAATGCGAATCTCTTATTCCATTTTCAATGCTTGAATATAAGCAGTAAAGTCACTCTTCATCCTTAGATTCTTGGTTCTACCAGCTCTATATCTCAGTTCTCAAGGCATTTAATATTTTACGGGTTGATCTTAAAGGGATCGTAAAGAGGTTTTCTAAAAATTTTATGTATATCAGGGACACTGAAAGCATCAATTTGCACCTTTTCTATTTTTCAATCAGACGTCTGTGGTTTCTGCAATTCCACTAAAACTAAGAGTTTGATGACGTCACTTATCACGAAAGCCTTATGTGATAAAACATATTTTGCAATCAATGTTTTGCCTTCAAACACAATTTTAGTGATTGTCCAATCAGATGACTGGAATACTACAGAACCATCTTTAGATAAAGCTCAAAGAATAAGGCCCAATAACATAGGGTTGAGAATTGCTCGGGTGACACACTAACTGTGAGAATCATATCTATACTAATTGTCACTTTTGTCAAACAATCAATGTTCCTAATTGTCATCTATATCCTGTACTCCAAACCTCTTGGAACCTTTGAGGTAAAAGCTAAGTGTTCAGAAGGTCATATAATGGGATCAAAAGCTGAAATTAGAAGTGGAGGTGCCGATTTTCTCCCCTGATTCTAACAGTTTGTGATTGTTTTTTGCAGTTTAAAAATGGAGTGTGAAAAACTGGCACAGGAGAAAACTGAAATGCAGAGACACTACGTCATGGTAAGTACTAATTTATTGATCACTTCAGAAGTTCGTACTCAAATTAGTACATTGAAAAGTGCAAATGAGGTTTGCAATACTTATGACGCAATAGAAGTGTTCTCATTATCATGTTAAGCATCTTCATAATGTCAAGCTATTACAAACTGTGTCTTTGTCTTCACTACAATAGCCGCCTTTCTTATATCACGGAAGTCTGTAAACATGCTGAACCTGAAGCAACTCTGTAATGGAACTTTATCTATGAATCCCTCTTTGAGAGTTCACATGATTATTCTGTGATGATGAGTGGCCCATATTTATCAGTTTATTGAATTAACTGGAATAATCATGTCAACCTTCATCATAATTTGATTGAATTGAAAAAAAATGTGGAGGTCTAATCTTTTTAATTTAGAAATTCGTCTCACAAGTCATTCTATCTTATTCAAGAATTAATTTTTTGGCTTCGTGAAGATTTTGATATGTTGGTCTGAAAGTTGGAAGATTATTTGGGTTTAAATGCACAGCGTACCAGTCTTATTGATTTCCGAACACTGTCAGAATTTTCTCTTCTTTGATTATGTCGACTGAATAATGAAAACTAGAGATAGTAAATTGGCTTCCAAAATGGAATTAGTTGTCTCAAAAGAGATATCTCAACTAAACCGTACTACTGATTATTTCAAATTAGAAAATTTAGGTCGCTTGTTCAAAGGGGACTTTTTTCTTAGTTGCCTTTAGAATTGAATATTATCGACAAGAGGTATGACTTTTTGCAGTGTTATATGTGATGCAAAATAAATGATTGAGAATTTATGTCCACTGCATACATGCATATGAAGACTACATTTTTTTCATTCCAACTTGAAACATGACATATTGAGTTTTTACAGCATACCAATGCTGTAGAATGTTCTGATCTTTGGTGCTATTTAGTCTACTCTGGGTGTGTAATGTTGAGCTTCACAATTAATAGAAAATAGTCTTCACACTTTACTAAATACTAAGTTATTCTTCCATTTCAGTATTATGAAATGTCATATGGATTAAATGTTGAAATGCATAAACAGGTAAGCAACAATTTTATTTGAAATTAATTTGATTAAAAGGTTCAACAGAGTTCTGAAAAAAATGGGTCTAAAAATTACAAAAAAAAAGGTATCACTGTATGTAGATATCATACAACTCAAAACTTCAATATTAATAAGTTGTTTGGCTGTCTTACAGAGGAACATGATTAGTGCATCTCTATTCTGACTTCACCACATGAATCATGCTGATATTTATATTGTTCGATAATAATCTATTATAATGAAATTCTGGCATGAAAATGTGCAAAATTCCTGAAAACTAGCACAATTTGATATTCAGATGAAATGCATACATTGTTGAAGGGATACAGTCATTTAATTATTTACTTTACCAGATGAAAGATATTAATTTTCACATTTCACATGCTGATATAACTGATATATCTTTGTTTGTCATTAACGCTCCTGAGAATACTGATAACATCCTTGAAATTTAACTAATTCATTTCTTGCCTGAGAATCAGATATTTGATTTTTTGCCTGAAAAGTGATAAAGATAGCTGAAATCGGCTGATGATGCAAATAATTAGATGAAAATATGTCTTTAATAGTCAATTCATGACATATGGTACATTATTATGATCCAGCTTGTTGACAATTAATGCATGTTCCACATAATTCAGATAAAGAGAGTATTTTGTGTCTATGAAAGTATGTTCGTTAATTCAATAAATTTATATCGTTCTGCCCAATTTAACTTTGTTATCAATTCATTGTCATTGATCATCCATTTATTGCTGACTATTAAAGATAATTTTTATAACTAATAATATTGATTGGTAATTTGCTACTTTTTTTTTTAGTTTTTTTGGTCTTCTTGTATATAGGACAAATTTTATGTAGTTATTGTATGAAATCCATCAGTAGGGGATTAAGCAATGTTACGTTATTATCAATTTGCTTATTTAACCCAACATACATACAATTTCATACTACAAGAACATTGTATGAACTAAGAGCTGTGGTGATTGATAATCAGTCCCGGCTGAAGGTGCCCTCGCAGCGTAACAATTAACAGTACTGGTTTGCGAATAATGAAAGGGGTCATAAGCGCCAAACACAACTAAAAATTCAGTTGCATAAGAGGTGCAGTCCAAGGTTATGACAGCTATTCTTATTCAGTTGTGTCTGGCTTGCTTTTACCTAGTACCGCTTTTAATTTCACATAAAAAAAAAAAGCTGCCATTGGCATAAGAAATAACATACCAGTAAATCATATATTCATTATGTATTTTCTACTGTCAAATCAACATCCTTGTTTACACATCAAAACTTTAACCAATTAAAATAAAAGTAAAATTAAAAAAAAAAATACCTGACACTTTTAACAATAATGTAGAAATGATAGTTTCAACAAAGTATAAAAAATCTTAGTACGAATAATGAATCAGTTCACATAAATATGTTTTTATAGTATTGTATTTCATGAATAATTCTCTTAATTCAACAAGATCAAGGTTGCCTTTTTCTGTAATTAACATTTTTCTTATCCATTTGAAAACAAGGTGCTCTTGACGAATGTTTCTTAAAAAATAAAAAAATGTCAAATGGCCTTGCAATAAATTTCATTTAAAATCGATTAATTCCGGTAAAAAGTTAGGTCAAATTTTTAAGCATCCTTCATTGATAATTGATATTGATTCAAACTTGTAGTTTTTACTACAGAATTAAATTGAGTTCGTTTGTCCTCCTCAGTTATTAAAAACACATGAAAAAGATTGGATATAGACATGAAATCAAATCATAATATCAGTCACGTCTGTCTTTGATGTGAATATTCGAGAAATTAGCTCCGCCTCTTTCACCCGTCATTTAACCAGCCATCTGCTTGCTCTTGAGAAACTTTTGAATTAGCAAAAGGTGGTATAGTGTTCCGTTTCACCAAACACACGCTATTTGAGAGTCAGAGCGCTTAGTTAGTCATGCCTGACTGCACTATTGATCAAAAGTGTTAAGGTTAGATTGTGAAGACCTTTTAGACGTATTGATTTTTTCTTAGCTCTCTCATTCATCAACTACTGAACATTTAATTTCCTTTAAAAGCCCTTCAATCTTTTTTTCTCTCCAAATACTTCATTTATCCCAATTTTTATACTCATGTGAATACCTTCATCTATGTATCTTTTTTAATTCTTATTAAATAAGATCAGATGAAAGAGAACAGTGAAAAGGGGCACATGTATTTGACCTTAACATTCTTATAACAAGGAAAGATCAGGAAGTGGCCAAAATGAAAATGTACTCGAACTATTCGTTATTTTTAAGCTGTATGATCTGAATATATAGTTATCAGGCAGTTTTCACAAGCTTGTTAAACCTGACATTAACATGGATGATAAAGCATTGCTAGAATATGGGCACTTGTCTGTCATAGCAAACTGGGCATTATATTTTTTCAGCTTTGAATATTCGCCATTTGGTAATATAGAAACAAAGCCTTATTTCATCAGGTATCAAAGTTAAGTGACTGCTGGGTACAATTAAGGTGCGCCTTTCTTATTAAAGACACAGCATTAATTCTTGTATAGTGTCTGTTTTGAATTTCATCGTTAAAAGTAGGATTTGTGCTTATTGAAGTTGCAGATACGCTCCATGCACTGTCAAGAAAAAGCCATACAACCCCTTTTATGTTTACTCTTTATGTCACCTTAGTTCTAATTTACTTTCACTTACTCTATTCTTTAATAGAAATTTTAAAATTCTCTGAGTGATTCCTTTCTTCTAGTAGAATAATGTCTTTTTAAGATGCAACTTTCTTCCTAAAAAGTTTCTTTGATGATTTTGATGTGGAGATTTAAAAATTTTGAGAAAAAAATGAAACTTTATCGTTGTGATCTGTTCAAAGAACAGAATCAAATTATTACTCTATCTGATATAAAATACATTGATCTGATCTGATTTTGAATTTTCCCTAAAACTTGGGCCATAATAATAAGATGAAACAAATTTGTTACGAGAAAAATCAGTGATGTGTATCTTGGTGTCAGTGATTTCAAACAAAAGAATTCAAGTACTTTCTCTCACTCCTTGCTTTTTATAACACTATTCTTGAGTGGGCCAACATAAACACCATTGAACGAATTACATTTGATTTGTAAGGGTCAATTTGATTGGTCCACCTTTAAGAGTAATCACAAAACACCTGTGACTTGAGGGCCTGAGACCAGGAGTACACTGCCCCATCGACCCGAATCACATCTAGAATTTAGATTGAGCATAAACTATGAAGCTTGGCAGTTTCATGGAATATAATGAAAGATTGAACAAATCGATTCATCTATTCAATTTCATAATAAAAATATCATTCTAAATTGTTAGACTGGATTGAAAATCTACATGGGTGTGGTTATTTCACTCTCGCTGACTTCTATGAACCCGAAATTTTTTGCTCTATTTAAACTGACAGAAATATTTGAAAAGAACAATACAGAGAAATTGACAAACATTTATTATTTATAAAAAGTATTATTCAGATTTTAAGTGATGGGTTACTGATCTGAAACAGATGATAAAAGGCAAAAAAGATATTGGATACTGGATACGCTTCTAAAATTTATATTTACTTAAACTACAAGATGTATTTATGAAAAGCTGAAGTAAAAATCACCAATAAATATTTGATTAAGTCAATATTTGGTAAATCTGTAGGGATTAAAAAGAAAATATGTAAAGTATGGCATATTGAATCTTATCTAAATAACATTGGTGCATTGCTTGTGTGAAAACTATTTAAAACTGACTAATATTGAAATAAGGAAAAAGGTTATTGACAATAGAGTGTGTGTTTGATAAAGAAATGAACCTGCACCCACTCGGCCGATACCATCTCTTGTATTGACTAAGTCAATATTTGTACACAGCTTATTGTATCCGAATCAACCTATTTCAATATTAAATACGTTGTTTCAACACTACAAAGTGTTTTAAGTTTTGTTAGGCCTCGGCTAGGACTGTCTGACTTTTTATTCTCATTTCATTTTTTTTTATTAAAAACTTTTCTTTTCTTTTCTCATTTTCTGGGTTGTAACATTTGACTGGTTTCAATTTAGATTGATGTGTGAAATCCTGTCTGACTTTTCAGTTTTTGTGAACCAATGTTCATCATTGTAATACTACAGTGGCGGAGCCAGGTTTACGTCTGCAGGGTGAAATATCTGAGATTGCCCGAATTTCTAAATTAGTTATGAGACTTTTGCTTTTGGGGCCGCGAGGGGGGCGGCTGCACCTTCTGCCTATGACTTTATGACTATCCATGATAGATCCAGAAAAAGTCAAAGCCAACTTTATGTTAGAGAAAATTGAAAAGGATCAAAGTTGATATTTTTGATGTTTACTTCCAATCTAAAATATTATATGTGACAGAGCTATTAGTCCTCATCATGTTTATAAGCTTAAGGTAGGCTCCAATACTATCAGGAAATAATTAAGCTGAACGGAAGTCAAAATACAGATTTTACACTGATTACCTGATTACTAATACTGTTATGGAACCAAATACTATCTTCATGACCAGGTTATAAGCTACAAGCTCAGTTTTAATGTGAGGAACAGTTTATCTTGGAATCATGCTTTTTTTCAGAATTCAAATTTGTTATGTGCTTCCACAAAAAATTGTTTTTACGTGTAGGCCTTATTGTCGTTGTTTCCTATACACTATAATATGGTCATTTTCTATAGGAGAGTATCTTCTATAACACCCAACACTATAGTTATAACGGATTCAACTTTCCTTATACAGCTGAAAATATTTGCATTGAAGTTAAGTCTTACACTGTAGGTAATTTTCTATCAAATTGATGTATTCCAATGCTGAAATCCACAATCCCAACTTGTGACCTAGGCCTGTGCTTCTATATGAGAGTTTCTTACACTCCACAGTTATTGTTATTTTTGAAATACTGTAAGATCCTTAAATGCAGTATATCACGAGAGTATTTTCTATAACACCTATAACAACATTAAATACGATCCTGCACTCTCAAATCATTCATTGTTTCTGCAAAAGCTCTGTAATATAAAAACTTCAATTCATTTTATTTTTAACAAAAGATTGTGTGTTTAAAAGTAATTGTAATAGTGAATGAAGGAATGACTATTGTTCTGAAGATTAGTTAAGTCTAGGTGGTCCAGTTTATGACTAGGAATACACAATTAGGCTTTATATAGTCTGTGAACAATAAATACTATACGATTAGTCCAGTTTCTAGTACTTCTATGGATAAGGAGTAGATTAGTCCACTATCTACTGTGTTTATGGTTAAAGATTTGAAGTTTATAAGCCTACCCAGTGGGAAAGAATTATAAAAAATAAATTGAGATAAATTTGTTGTATAAATAGCTCTCAAAATACTTATTTAATGGTTGAATGGCTTTAAAAGCATTTGGGAATTATATTTCATTGTCAATGTCATGAATGTTTACAATAATGAAACTAAGAGGTTGGATTATTAAGAGTTAAAGCAGCCAATGCATGCAATGCTGTAGAATTATGATTGATTCAGCTTTATTGATGTAACTTCCAATTTGTTTGTTTAACTATATGGGGTTGGTGATTGTTGTTGTGGTCAATCAAATCAGCAAGATAAGTAATGAGTTATAAAGAGAAACTAATTTGAAATGATGCTCATATAGTATTGAGTCATACAAATGGTCTTGTTAAAATGCAAATTGCTACACATGTTGCAATATGTTATCATTATACAGTGGAGCCCTGTTATTCATTCCTGATGCATGTGCGGAGCCCTGTTATTCATTCCTGATGCATGTGCACGGTTAAACGATTGTATATACAAGTAATACTGAAGTTCTTCAAGCTCAAGACAACATGAACGAAGTGCTATATGTAACTTTATAGCACAAAATGATATTTCTATGAAATATGTTGATAATGAAAGGTCTGTGTCTGCAACAAATTCAGTGGTGAAATCTGATAGCCTATCAAATTTAACTTGTAAATATTTCTGTATTTCAGACTGAAATAGCCAAGAGATTAAATGCCATATGTGCTCAAGTTATCCCATTTTTATCCCAAGAGGTATGATTGTAATAGTTTCTTTATTTTATATTGATTTATTTTTCATATTGTGATGAGTGTAAAATGCCTTGATGCTTCCAGTGAACTTTCATTGAAGAATTAAGTAAGAGTTGACTGCTCACAAAATATCCATTGGCTTTAGGAATAGGCAAGAAGATCATTTGCTCATATGAATAGATTTTGCTTACTTTGCTAATACACCTCTAAAAATTAAAAATTTACAGTTTTCTTACTTGAAGATCAATTTCCTAACTAGCATAGTGTCAGTTATGAAATCATGTTTATCTCATTAGCAAGCCATTTCTGGATTATTTTCGATTAGCAAGAACCCTGGACAAATATCTCATTCTCAAATTATTGCAGATGTCCTAAAAAGCATTTAGTTACTTCATGTCTGAATGTGGTCATGCCCAGATTTATTTTAAAAAAGTGATTTACAAAAATCACAAATAGTCTCACTTGATATTATGGGGCATATTCCACCAACCGTTTCTTACAGCTTACAGCTGTGGTTAAATCTTGTTTCATCGATAGAAGGAAAACCGAAGGAAAACCGTTATTAATAAAGTTTGAATTGAATTATTTGATTGATTTGGACAAGGTTTCTTACAATTTTTATTGGCGTTTCAAGCTAAATAAGCTGTGATTTATTTTCAATGTGTTTCTTTTGATAAGTTTACGCCTTGATGAATTTATATTAAGAGATTAAAATCAGTCTAACTTCATTTATTTCATATTTTTATTCCTTATTTCAATTTTATGACTAATTTTAAAGCTAAAAGCTGATAATTTTTATATGAAATTGAATTAAGTTTTGTTTATTGAAATTTCTAACCTAATTACAAATATTTATAATAGAAAAAATTTGCAAAGATCAGGCTGTCATGAGTGTTTGACTTCTAGATTCTTATCTTGATCCTTCCAATTATTATCTTCAATTGCTCAAGTGAAAAAAGACATAGCTATATAATCCTGGGTATTTTCAAAATTGGGATTCATCTGCTTTTGAGTCATAAATTCTAATTAAAAAATCTTGTTATATAGTAGAATTTAAGTACAAGGAGATGAAACCAGAGTATAATACATTGGTAGACAGACAGTATTTAGTTATAAGAACTGTGACGGCACCGTCTCAAGGTTGTCTGTGTTCCCATTAATAGCATAACCTTATTCTCATTAATCAAGCAGGAGTTCCTTTATTCCTGTTACATCTATCATACTTTTTATCTTAAATAAATTACGCTCGGTATGATTCAATTTGTAAAATTTTATCTCAGATATTTCTTTTATGTCCAGAATTCTGTTAGTTTTATGGTAAAAAAAACACTAGAATTATTGAGAATTTTTATATACAGACATTCATTTATGGAACCACGATCAATGTCTAAGTTTGATGCTTCATCATACTAATGTACAGGCAGACATTCCCTTTAAAATCAGGTTACTGCCCTCTATAGTATCCCATCGAAAGTAAAAGTAAGATTATAATAAATTCACTGGCTGTTGACAGTTATAACTTATAAATTCATTTCATGTAGGTGTCAATAGGCTTTTAGCCAAAGACTACAGTGATATATTTCTTATTTCTGATTGTCAGAATCAAATGGATTGTTAAAATATTCATTTATCTTCATTTTGATTCCAGCATCAGCAACAAGTGGCAGCAGCAGTGGAAAGAGCAAAACAAGTCACGATGCAGGAATTAAATGCTGTTATTGGTGTAAGTTATTTCATGTTGGTTTTAAATTGTTGATTGAATTGAAACCTGTTTTAAAATCGTGACCAGGAAGAATTCAGTGTTATTAAGACCTGAACTGAATCACCTGTTTGGTCAATAAACTTAATAGATACCACAGTAATGTTTTACACAACTAACTTCTTCTTGTCAAATGTCATAGTTTGGAGAAACATGTCGTTTCTTTGCATGAAAACTTGAAAGATTTCTGCTGTGTATTTCAAAGACACACTTTTGACAAACGTACAATTAAATAAAACTACAACTCTGTAGTTCAGAGAAATATTCATTTTTGCACAAAACTCTACAGGAGTTTCATTGTCCATTGTTGTAAAACAAAACCCTAAGTCATATCTTCTGAAAAGGGAATGTCAAGTTGACAAAAGTCTGTCTTATCTTAAGAGCATGCTTGTCTGGAATATCTAATGAATTTTTGCAGTGATTTTTAATACTGCATTGAAGATGTGGAAAATGAACCGAACAGTAAAATTTTTGACCAATTTCTACCAGACATTATATAAATTCCATATATTTCAGCAGATGCAAGCACAGCATTTACCACATGCACATGCTCCACCCATACCTATGACACCTCATCCTGCAGGATTACCTCCCCCTGGTGGTCTCTCGTCAGTACCTGGTGGATCAGGATTATTATCATTGCCTCATGGATCATTTCCAACACATCCTCACAGTCTCAGTGCATTGAAAGATGGTAAGTCTTGAGCATTCTTTGAGTGTGAATGGGTTAGAAAGGAGGACCAATATCCATTTGCATGAACAGAGTGTAAATGGTATAGGTAAATACCATCCCATATTGCCCTTTGACCCCATTGGAAGCCATCTTTGTTTTTCACAATGGTAAATAAATTGCAATAGGAAAATAGTGAATAAAACTTGAAACTGAAAGAGAAGAAAATTGCAGCCATGTGTAATGATAAGAGATATTCTCTAAGTGATGAATTCTCTGCCATGGAGGCAAAAATAGACAATTTGTTAGACTGCTTAGTTTTATGTGATGACTGTTAATCCAAGTGAAAATACAGACACCTGTGCCATTTTGATCCTGGGTTACTTCACAGCCACAAATCTTATTAATAAGCTTGCATTCTCTATAAACATTGAAAGCATTCCACCAGTAGCGTCCAATATTTTGATCAATGAGTCGTATGAACAGCTGTCCTGTTGCTATTTCTATGAGTCATTGAACCAAGCTTAATGTGCATCTATTGATTCCGAGCTGGAAATCCAGATTTTTGTCTCCAAGAACTGAATATTGCATAGATACAACTACCGATACAAAAGTTCAATTGGCTAGACTTTAGCCAGCTTGCTTAACATACCTAGAAAGATTCCAGACTTTTGTCTCCAAGAATTCAAAATTGTTTTTTACTTTAATATCGCTTAGCTACACTTTAAACAGTTCAATTGTTACATATGTACCCCTTCTAGACCTTTCACAGATAATATTTTTAATAATGGCTTTATATAATAATATATTGTTTTATAATACATTTTATTTTGTTTTTGTTTCAGTAGAAGAAAAACACGTAAGTTATTATACTGCCTTTTGTTTACATTTTGTCATACACATTTACATTCATACTAAGATATATTTTTAGGAGTTCAGAGATATTTCAATGTCAATTAAATTACTTTTCTCTTGGAGAAATTACATTATATATTAGATAGAGAATTTGCATCCTTTTTGCTTTCACCAGTTCGTCTAGATCCCTAATTTGGAAAATTAAACAAAATTTCCAAAAGTAGCTGTCTTCATGAGGATTGATAATGAGAAAAAGTGTCATCAACATCAGTCAAATAAAACACATAAAGCATGGCTGCATATAACTGGCAAGTCTGTCTCTTTTGCAGAGAGTTCACTTAGTCATTCTAGTAGTCATATGATCTCTATCAATTGAAATACAACTTCAAGCTGGAAATCTTTTCTCTGTGTCTATTGTATTGTAAAAACCTCATAAAGTACGGTATATATGCTTATTAATTAACTGTTTGTAATTAGAGAATGATGCAATTACTCATATTCTTTTTTTCATTTAAAAAAGTAAACAAAATGTCAGTTAAAACATATTTGAAATATTTGTATGTAATAATTTCTAGTACTTTTGTCAATATTATGAAAGCTATTGAAATTCAACAATAGTTGTATTAGTAAGAGTACTAGACAAAAATTTCAATGCAGCAGAGCATCATGTGTGATATGAATTGAGGATACATGTATTATAGAATACAATAGCCCAGTGAAGTACTGGTTGGTGAGATATGCCTATATTCCACCATAAATCTAAATAATATTACTTAACAAATTCAGTTATTCTCAAGATCAGTAAGGTGTTAAGTTTGGAGAGATAATGGAGGTCTTCCAGAAATGATACTTCTAGCTCAATCTTACCAGATAAAAATACTGGATAATGCTACATGCCTAATACTTTGAACTTTAAGCAAAGCATAAGCAAGAACTTTTTGATGGAATTAGTTCATTCTCATTTGCCTAATGCATTTGAAATGTGGCTTCTGTTCATGAGGGTAATTGTGATACAGGCATTTTACAGCAACTTGAGAGCAATATAGATGTGTAAAACTCTCTTCATATTTGTTCTTTCAAATTAGTCGTGATGTTGATTCAAGCCTTTCCTCCCTTTCTTCTCTCTATTATGATGAGTGTTTACTCGTGGCTTACTCAGCTAAGTGTTATGTCTACAACGGTACTACTTGTTAAATGAGGTGCTTGTCTATCATAGAAGAATCAGATTACTTCAATGTTGACATGTTAGTAATCCTCATCTATCTAAAATCACCTTTTGTTGGATTGATGCATTCCGTATTTTCACATTTATTGGTTGAATGGTTGAAGAGTCTGGAGGAATGAAAACGATTGATCTAAAGTAAACTCTTCACTCATTTTGTCGACAGTAATTAAAACTCCCGAGACCTCATGTCTCTGAGCGTTTGCTATTCAATACTTGCTGTTTTTCTATAACGTGCAGTGGAGATTAAGATATACTTGATAATTTCTTGAGTCAAATTGTTGGTGAATTTGTTTTTTAGGTTTGGTCGCGCGAGTTTTTCAACTTGTGGGTCTGTTTGCTAGAGGAGGTGAAATGTAAAATTTTAAAGAATTTCAAATCGTTTAATCTTGTTTTAATTAGTGCATGAAGTTTAGATGACGCTCACTGACTTATCATACACGAGAAAAGATTGAACACTTGGTATTGACATGGCTGACATTTTACTGACAAAACTGGCGACTTTTTAATCGCATCATAAAAACATCTAAGGTTTAAGCTGACACAGAGTTGAGAGGTTTCAATTCAGATTAGATTTGCAAATGTTTTTAGAATTTAGAAAAATTCAGAATTCTCATCTGAATACCGTGTCTAAATTGATCAGCTGAAGGTTTAACGAAAAACCAATGTTAAGAGTTAAAACTTTGATAGTAAAGATTGTAAACGAATTTTAAGCAAAGTTTTTTTGACTATATTCGCTAGTCATTCTAGTCAGTCAAGTTAAAATTTAAAAATCAGAGTTATTGCCCTTGTTGGTTATTGAATTTTCGTCTGAATAACTGATATACTGAAGTGTTATGTCCAACTGTAATATCAAGGTACTATTCTGACTAAAAAAAAAGTTATGGAAGATTAAAGTTTTAAAAAATTTGAGAGAGACAGCGTATTGATTGACATGTAATAAAAAAAATGTCAATTTTACATCCCACAAACTTAATAATATTGAAGTATTTGTAACGTTTATATAAAAGTTTGTTTTGCTATGTGTACAAATATTTGTATTAATTATAGGAATTGTATGTCTTAGTTGATAGTAAATAGCCTCAGGTTATAACATGTTTCTTTTACCATGTTAATCAATATCCTACATAGTTGTACCAAGAAAATACTACATGTCGTCGTCCAAACTAGCTGGGGGCTTCATGTAATTTTTTCCAATGGATCTCAGGATGTTTTTTAAAATTGATCCTATGGTATTTGAGTGTGTTTATGGTTTATGTATATAGTGGATTATTCAATATAAAGTATATTGTTTATTGAATTAGTTTAATTTGAACAATTTCGTATTATTCAAGGGGCGTAACTATAATTTTCTCTATGGACAATTTTTAGTTTTCATCAGTAATGTCATAATATCTTTTAGGCTTTACCTCCTATTGGCTTGTGGACTCATTAGATCTCATTAATTAAGCATTGAGTTCAACATCTATCAAGAAAGTCTCATGCCATCTTCAGTTAACTATCTGTTTGTCAAATGTGGGGAGTCTATATACATGTATAACTGATCAAGTTTGTTCAGTTTCTTTTATAATGCAGACATGGCTAAGACAAGCACTCTCAGTTTTCAGAGGTTAGATAAACTGAATGATTCTAGACGAATGAGAAATCACAAAGCTGGTATTGAACTGATTTAAGACATGATGCATGGTGTGAAATATCACATTTAGATATTTTAGTCTAATTTATGGGTTTATGCAAAATTTATTCATTGTTTATTTGGCGACTTTGACAGAAGAAATCAATTCTTTACCACACAAAATATTGTCAGAAGTTTTTTTCTCTTCAATATTTGCATAGAAGAGGCGAAATAGCTTTTGGTTAAATAATCAGACAGTGAAAATTATTGACATTTTCTTCAGTTTACTCGCTTGATATATAGATTCTCGACAACCTTTGTAAAAAAAAATCTGGCGTAAAAGATTTAACAAATATTAGGTGCAAGTAAATATGTGCTTGGCAACTCACACTATAGTAAACATGAAAGCGCCTCTGTCATGTTAACTATTCTGAACAAATGTTACAAATAGTTTTTCATCAGCTTTGTATTACTTTGAAACTTAAGTAAATGACATTCTTCGTTCATTGAGCTGTCTCCAATTCCTCATTGGTTTGTGTAGAGGTAGCCGGGTTTAGTATGCATCAAGTGTGAAGTGTAAATATTGAGCTAGGTAGAGTGTTGTTAGAAGATATTAACTGTTTACCCTTCTTCCTCTACCACAATATTTAATGTCTGTGGAGCGCAATTCATGTTCCCTGCGTTTTTCCATTCTCTACTCTTGTTGCACGAATGAGAGGCTTGTTGAACAAACATGGAAGCTTCTTCTGTCCACATGCAATGTTTGGTCTTACTGGTGACAAAAGATTACTTCTAGCTTCCCGCCAAATGAGTTTATTTTAATGAATGAGCTGGTGAGAATTGAAATAGAGTTTACCCTGTAGAGAAAGGCAGAATTTTAAGTGTCTCATTAAGGTTTTCTATGCAAATTTTATGCAAGATTACCAAACACTGCAAAGAGACATAAATGAGCATAGTACAGAAGATAAGATTTATAATGCAAAATCATGTATTGTTTGTACTAATTTGAAAAAGATTGCAAACTATGTAGTTTTTTTTTAAAATGTGAAATTCTATATGAAGCATAAGACAATCAACTAATCATCTACTTAAGACGGTGAATTGAAGAAAAGAAAAAAATCAAGCAATTGACAAGACATCCATTAAAGACATCAAATTAGCATAACAACTTCTCTTGAAAGAAAAGAATAAATATTTTCAATAGTCCTATTGACTGTTTAAAAGTCTTGTCTATTATTTGTTAATTGTGTTTTTACACTGACAATCTAATCTATATGTACTTAAACTAACAATCTATAAAGTCAAGTTGTAGTTTTATACCAGGTTATAAAGATATTACTGTTATCTTTCACTTGAATATACTCTGTCTTTTATTGGATCGATTGTGTTTCATCAAATCAATTTTTTCTTCTTATGATGTTGGCCAGTGCTTCCATAACACCCTATACCATTTGGATACTAAAATTGAAGTTCAATTAACACTTTGAGACTTCTTTTGTTGATCAGTTATGTTCTTGAGCCAGTTTGGTTCACAACTTATTTTTTTAAAAAAAGGACTTCAAATAGATACCACACCCTCAAAATTGTCAGACAGCATCAAAACAACATGGCCACTGAACTCTAAAGTAAGAGTTACGATAAGCTAGGTTTAGATTAAACAGCAGAAACAAGGAAAATTCATCCACCAAGAAACCATGTCTTGTATTGTCCCCATTTTGCTTCAAGAAAAGAGGTAAATGTGCACCTATATGCCTTACATTGTAAAAGGTCAATTGAATACTTCAGATCAAACAAAGTCTATTTCAATTATGACAGTGTGTTATTATTCCATTCAATCAGTGTTAGTACAGGTATTTCCTACTTCTATTAAAAATTGCACTTGGATCAGTTTTTGGTTTGAATTTCACCATTGTTTAAGTAACAAAGATATCTGATACCTGTGTTTCACCTTTTATTTGTTGACTATTATAACTGTAATTTGCACTTAAATATTGTGGTTTGGGAGTTTTTAATTTAACCACATAATACTATTTTTTTGACACTCCTTGCTGAGATATGAATGTAAAGATTATAAAAAGTAATTAAAAGTTAAAGAGAATTTTTTTTAAAGCAAACAATCATTAAATTAAAAAGATTTCATTGTGTAAATAGAAGTCAATAAGTGAATAAGTAATCTTGGTGGAGACATCGATAAAATTTCATAAAGTTAAATAAACTGGTTGTTGTCCTATTAATATATTTATTCTAATGCCTGTCGTAAAATATATTAAAAGAGCTCTTGAAGGCTACTTAGTTTTGCTGATATATTGGTTGAAATTGGTTGGGTGAATGGTGAGAAAAGCATGTGTGTAAACTGTACGTTTGGTCAGGTGGTCTATATTGTTTCTGCGTCAACATTGCTCAAGTATTTATTCAAATATTATTTATCATATCCTTTATCAACACTTGACAGTCACTTGATTGTGATCTTAGTTTAGTTTATATCACAAACTTACAGTTTATTTAGGCCAATAGAATAAATCCATGTTTAGTCCATTTAGTGTTTTTAACTTCAACTCCCTTAACTATATCTCCGGGTTTAACTCTTTGCATTGATAGAATCAAGCCAGTGTCCTTTGTTAATGATACAGGTCACTTGGCTACCAGAGAAAAAGTTCTTGTTGGTGCAGATAATTTCGATCTCCAGTGACAGTTGGAGACTTTGACAAGGAACTGGAAATGTACAAAATTTAACATATTAAAGATCTGATTCTGCCCCACCTGTTGTTGTGTATGTAACAAAATATAGACAGCAAACGCCTGAAGCTACCACACAGGAACTGTTGGGTCAGTGGGTAATATGAAGATGATAATACAAACTATTCTAGTGTTTACCTTCAATCCACTCCACAGGCTTACTCCAATGTCTCAATTGTCTTAAGTAAATGTTTATTTTCTTCTTTACGTTGAATCAATGGTAGAGAATCTCAGTTGATGTCTTTGTGAATAATTTGTGATCAATTATTGACTGTTTTTTTAATCAGATTTCAAATAGAATACAATCTGTGTTTATTTAACATCTTAGTTCAAGTTGAAAGGTGTAATGTTGATCGTATTTTTAATACAATGACCCCATTTCCCTCTCATTGGTTTTAAATTCATTTTAAATTGGCTTTGAATGGAACATCAAGCTCTGAATAAGTTATTACTTTCTGTTGTGTGGTGCATTTACAATTTCATGCTTAAGAATTCTATAGAAAGTGTGAAATTGGTGGAAGAGTTGTCAAATTATACAGTAGTGCAAAAAGGAACGATGAAAAATTTCATTCAATATTTCTTAATATAAAGGGAAAATAAGACCAACAAATGTCTGTATATAATAGTAAATGCAGAATAGAAGGACAATACAAGATAATATACAATTAGTGAGATATAGAACAGTAAGACTGATATTTAGATCTCTATTGTTTTATGTTATATTTTACAGAGAAGATCAGCATCTCCAGCTGAAAGAGAAAAATTCCGTCCTCGAAGTAGATCACCGGATGTCAGAAACAGTGGTGAACCTCCCAAAAAACGCAGACAAGATGAAAAAGTAGTAAGTATTGAGTATATTTTTTTATAGAGAAAACTCTAGCCTGGCAGTTTGTTAGAGCCTTGAGAGTTTGATTGAAGAATATATTTAGTAAGATAAAAAAGACTGTGACCTGAATTAAGTCATCTTCATCAGTATTCCAGTATTCCCAGCCGTAAAAAGGGTCTTTATCAGCTGAAAGCAACCCAAGTTATCTATGTTAAATAAGAAATAAAAAAAATAGTTGTCAAATGTCACGCAGCAATCATTAATTATTTTTCACAACAAATATCGCTGGTATTGTTCCATCGTATCATGCAATGTTTTTATATTCAAAGATAGGCAACATTGTTTTCTGTAAAAGTATTGTTAAAAGTCTTTTGATTTTGGAAAATGTTAAATGTCAAATTGTAAGAAATTTAAGGAAGTTCAGGAGTACCCATGGTGTAAGAATAAGTCTCTAAGCAATCAGTTGTAACTTGAAGGGAAAAAAATGAAGGAAATAAGATTTTTTCCTTAAATTATTGATTTTTGTCTTTAAAAAAAAAAGTCTGTAATCTTCTTAGAATAATCTTGATAAAAATGGATTAAAATATAGGAGATTAGAATGGGGTCAAAGGTCTCAAAACCTTCTCAATCATTTTCCCCATTGATTATTTATTACCATCGGAAACTTCTTACAAATTAATGTTATTTATCATCCTTATTTCTCTAAAAACTTTTTCAAAATTCCCACAAAAAATCTTGTTAAAAGAACACTGTCCCTGAAGGCTTAATCAATATTTGGAGATTTTTCTGAAAAGAATTTCCCGTTTTTAGCCAAAGGATAGTGAAATAAAATGAATTAATAAATAAGTAAAATTGTTGCCTGTTGGCTTCGATCAACAGAGACTAATATTTTTAAATATTTATTGTTATGACTCTCCCTAAAGGAAAATCAATTGATTTAGTTCCATTTTGGTAAGCAGAAGAATTGTTTGCAGTTCCTTCGCTAGACTCTTTCTAAATATCATTATTTGAAAACCAATTTAGAATTTCCATTTCTAATTTCATTCTTATTATTACTTTGTTTTCTCCAATTATCCTGTATTGCTTCTTTTAAGCCCAGTGCAAATATTTGAAACCAATATCAGAACGCTTGATTAGTAAAAAATAGTAGTTTCAATATTATCTTTTAAACACTAGTCCCATAAATAAAAACCATTAACACAATTAGACATTTTGTAAGTTTTTTTTTATTAAATTGTATCATAAAAAACAGCTTATAAAGATAGTGGAAGGCATGGTTTTGTAGTCCCTGGGAGAGAAGATGTTATTCCTATTGTTAGCCGTGTAACATGTTACCTTCTTACCCATTTTCAGCTTTTGTTTATTAATATGGCCTAAAGTATTACAGTTTCATTTTATAATAATAATGATAATTTATAATAAAATGATAACCATAATGAATAATGATAATAATGATGAACATGGTGATACAATTTATTCATTAATTTCAAATAATGTATTTACAGGAAGATGATGGAGATAAAAGTGACCAAGAATTAGTTGTTGATGTTGGAGAGGTAGGCTTATTTCCAAATTTCTGACTTTGCTTTGAAATGTACACATGAAACAATGTAAAGTTTCTAAAAATACTCAAAAAATCAGATTTTCTTTAGTAATTAAGAAGTATTACATTATAATGATATATACATGGTAAATGCATTTGACATGGTTATAATAACCTAATAAAACTGACTCAAGTACAACTTGACATTTTAGGATTAGAAAGTGTTTTGAGTATAAATCTCCATTAATATCAATTTCAGGATAACACTTCACCAATGAATGGACACCGTGAAATTTCACCACGACCTAAAGACAGTAAAGATCCAGCACTAGTTCGTCATAAAAAAGAAATGAATGATAGAAGCAGTCCGCGAAGTGATGCATCATCCCATGCCAGTTCAGGTTCAGCCAAGGTGAAAGAGGTAAATAAATTGTTGTCTTCCCTTTAGATTTGCAAAAACAATATCCTGTTTACTATTTATATTCATAATTGATAGTTATTTTTTAAATCTGAATCACCATGAAGTTTTTATGGTTTAATTTAACTGCTTTTGTTCTTATTTGTTTGTTTCTTTATACAATCCCTTTTGTCATAATCATTAGTCCACATAGTGCAGACCGAGACAGTTTTATTTGCAAACTTCATCCATTTACATTTGTTCATGAAGCATTAAATTTGCTTAAAAGATGATTTTAACAATTGTTTCTCTACAAGTCCAAAAAAACTTGACTAGATCATATTTCACTACTATCAAGTACCAAAAGGTCAGAGAAATTTTAGGATAGGGATGGCAAGTTTCTTCAAAAATTACAATGAATAAGAGACATTTAACTTGAATTCATTTCGTGCAATTAGATGCTTTAGGTGTTATAACATCCAATGCAGCTGAAAAAATGTTTTGTGAATCCTTTATGTTGGTATGGTGTCCCGTATTGAATAACATTAGTTTGGAATAATATCATATTGCTAATTTTGTGTGTATATTTGATTATAGAATGATAAATCTGTGACACCTGTATCGAAACCTAATACACCTACAAGTACTGGTAACATAACACCTGGACCATCAGTAGGTGGACCACCTAATAAAGGTACAGTCTATTTATAGTCTTTATCTGCCTTGAAACAGATAATCATCATAAATTGATGGGTTTTTTTTTTATCCAAGACTTGATTATTGATAAATTTGTTGACATATTGTGTATCAGTATAATTTCTGGGGATTCGTTTTTTATGGATTTCTTGGGTTTTTAGTTCAGTTTCTGCTTTTTCTCCCATGATCACTCATACTTCCGTATCTGGCAAAAAATGTCTGAAGATCCTGAAAATCTCACTATTTGTACCATTGTGAGAGTGCACTACAAGTTTTCAAAGATCATTTACTGTAGTTTTCTCACAATATTGGCCCAATTAATTTGATCCCTGAGTTTTGTGTATGAAAGTTTTAAATCCACAAAGAACATGTGTGCAAGGAGTTATACAATAATCTTCTGATTTTCAGTGTACCCATTTATGCCTCACCCCACTCATGGTACTCCTGGGGGCTTACCCTCTGAACTGAGTCCAAATGGTTACCCACCCAATGGTGTGATGCATAATGGTATTGGTGCAAGCCCTTTAAATAATTTTGGTCAAAGACACCCCAGCATGGTAAGTATTTTTTTTTTTTAAAGAATCTGAACCTCAAAAAAGGCTTTTGAAGTTTATCTTGATTATAATTTACATGAAAGATATGGCACTTCAGGGAAAAATTCATTGAAGATTTTACTTTAATACAAACTTTTTCATATATTTTTCTCTCTTCTGAGAAATATGAACCACTGATGGAACTAATAGTACACTTATCTTAGAACATTTTATAATTGACAGTCAAGCATGTTTTTTTCATCCTATTAACTGTTAAGTAGAGAATTTAAATGAAGATATATTGGATTTTTGCTTTAAAATTATTTAAAACCATTTGGTTGGATGAGTGCCTGTGTAAATTGTTACTAGTAAGAATATTCTTACAATCTACATTGTGGCAGGGAAGAAAACAGTTAAAATTTGTTGTACATGTATTAATGAAAAATGCTATATAATGAATTTTTATTTTCCAAGTCAGAGATCTGGAAAGAAAAATAATTATGAATGCAATGTATTTCTGCAACACTGAATTTAACACAGAAATTATTAATAAATTTCAGCAACAGATGTCATGAACATAAAAGAAGTTATAACATTGTTAGTAATGTAAAAAATTGATGAATTACAAAAAAACTTACTATTAAAGAGTAGGGCTCAATACATAAATTGTAGTGCAATATAGAAATATAAAAATATTTAGAAATAACATATCATGTATACATGGACATAGAATGATATAGTGAAAATAGAACATTTTAAAAACTAGACATGACATGGTGAAAATACAACATATGGTTAATACATAGTGAAAATATAACATAAGGTTAATACATAGTGAAAATATAACATAAGGTTAATACATAGTGAAAATATAACATTATAAGGTTAAAACATAGTGAAAATATAACATTATAAGGTTTAAACATAGTGAAATTATAACATAAAGTTAATACATAGTAAAATTATAACATAAGGTTAATATGTAGTGAAATTATAACAAAAGGTTAAAACATAGTGAAAATATAACATTATAAGGTTAAAACATAGTGAAAATATAACATTATAAGGTTAAAACATAGTGAAATTATAACATAAGGTTAATACATAGTGAAATTATAACATAAGGTTAAAACATAGTGAAAATATAACATTATAAGGTTAAAACATAATGAAATTATAACATTATAAGGTTATAACATAGTGAAAATATAACATAAGGTTATTGCATAGTATAAAAAAAAAACCCATAAAAATATTAAAATATAATTTGATGATAATAAGGTAATGAAATTATGGTGCAATTGAAATATAACTTATTATATTATGATAATGACGCCTTATGAATTATTAATAAAGATGATGTGTTTTTTATATGTTATTGTAGCCAGGAGGTGGGGGATATGATGGACCCTCCCAGCATGAACACATGAGACCCGCACTTGGCAACATTCCAGGGGGCAAACCGTAAGTGTAATTTTAATTTTATTAATTTTATTAATTTTAACGTAATTTTCAATTAGTAATATCATTTAATAATTTTAGATTAAAAAGATTAGAACATGCAAATTTGTTTTTTATTTAGTAATAACTATAATTTTTAAAAAGGCCACTGACATTAGGATGATCTCAGTACTGTTCCTGAATGAAATGAATTTACTTTTATTTTTCAGTGCATATTCTTTTCATGTGAGTGGTGATGGACAAATACAGCCAGTTCCTTTTCCACCAGATGCTTTGATTGGTCCAGGAATTCCAAGACATGCTCGTCAAATTAATACTTTAAATCATGGGGAGGTTGTTTGTGCAGTGACAGTTAGTAACCCAACAAGACATGTATATACTGGAGGAAAAGGTTGTGTTAAAGTTTGGGATATTAGTCAACCTGGAAATAAAAGTCCTGTTTCTCAACTTGATTGTTTAGTAAGTGTCTTCAGTTTATGCTGATGTTTTGAATTTTTTACAGCTTGACATAATAGCATGAAAATTATTTGCAAATGTAAGTATTGTGATTATGTGAAAATTTCCAAAAATTAGATTATTTGTAAAAAGATCATTTCTGATTTTTCAGCAAAGAGACAACTATATCAGATCAATAAAATTATTACAAGATGGTCGAACATTAATCGTTGGTGGAGAAGCCAGTACATTATCAATATGGGATTTAGCAGCTGTAAGTCTTTAATTTTAAAATAATTTCAGTTTGAACTTGTGAGGTGTGAGTCACATGTTTGACAGTTAGCCAGTGTTCTTGGAGAATCAATATGCCCTCCTACCCTAACTTTGTTCAACTTTTGTAGAAAGTTCCTTTTTATTATGATTACAAATATATGGCATATAGAATGAGCAATCTGCTCATGCTTTAATTGAAAAACTTTGGGTGAGATAATGGTGAATAGTTCAAAAGAGAAACAATTATGAGCTCTTACATCAATGCATTTAGAGCCTACATGATTTGCAGAGAAATTTTGGACATAAACATCATTGCCTTTGAAGACTAAGCTAAGCAAGCAGGCACATGTCCGTTCCTCCAGTGAATTTATTCAAAGAATACATACATTCTGATTAGTGTTCCAACACACTTTGGAAATTTTGGGATATTTTGAGATTATTTCACAAGAATTTAATACATTTTGTGGCCTTTTATAATTTTTGGCACCTCAGTAATTAGGGCCAATAGGACTAAACATTCTATCCATCCACATGATTTTGCTTAACATTTTCAAGTGGGGACCAGATATTTGAAACTGTCAGTGTCTGGTCATTTCAAGGTCATTTATCTGTAATATGTTCAAATTTCCCTTTTCATATTGTTCATAATATTATAGGCCTATTTATTGTTGTCAGCTGGTAATATTATAATATAATATCAAGTAAATTTCTCACTTCAATAACAGTGTTGAATATCAATTAAGTTTTTATTACTATTAATTACTCGGCTAACCGATGAAGTATTGTCTATAATAGAAAACATATAAGCTATATATGTATTGCATTTGTAAAATCACCCGATCATATATCATGAAGTTGGAATCACAATTTAAGAATGGAAGAGCTATTTTTTTTGGGGGGTTTTCACCATTGAATGATTTCTGTTATTTTGTATTTTCTATCTTTCAGCCAACCCCCAGAATAAAAGCAGAATTAACATCGAGTGCTCCAGCTTGTTATGCTCTAGCTTTAAGTCCTGATAATAAAGTGTGTTTTAGTTGTTGTAGTGATGGTAATATAGCTGTATGGGATTTACACAATCAAACTTTAGTCAGGTATATATAAGATATCAATTCAACCTCTTGAATTAAATTCCCAGAGTTCATTCCATGCTCACTTTATATTAGTCTGCAAATGATAATAAATTTCATATACAGGTACTTCAATCCCATTCTGTATTGAGTGTTTTTTTATGATATTGTCAATCTCGCACCATTTAATTCATCATTACCAATATTTTTCAGACAATTTCAAGGGCATACAGATGGAGCTAGTTGTATTGATATATCACCTGATGGTAGTAAATTATGGACTGGAGGTTTAGATAATACAGTCAGATCCTGGGATTTAAGAGAGGTTAGTCTACTATAGTGGCACCTACATAAACTTTACACCTTGGAAAAAATTAAACATCTTAAATAAATTTAATTAGTTATAATGCATGGACAATTGATTGATTGCTTGATATTCAACATAGATTTTCTTCAAGTCGTTTTAGTGGATCCACAGCGGCTTAGTGAGTTAGTCGCTTGCTCGCTTACCTGAAGGCCCAAGGTTGAATCTTGGCATAGGTCGAGGTAATGCCTTCGGATTTTTCAACCCGGTTTCCCCTTCACAGTGATGCACCTTGACAGGGCTGACATGGAAAAAGGGGCAAGTCGTTTCGGATGAGACAATAAACCAAGGCCTGGTGTGCTTCAGACTGTGTACATTAAAGATCTCTTGACAGTTGAAAATCGAAAAAGAGTAGACTAATGCAGCTGTCCTGGCAAAATTTCCCTCATTGTACACTGCTTCGTGTTGCTTGTCTTCATTAGCCCTTAAGGTGCAGAAAAGTAGGACATAAAGCTCCATACTTTTCATTTCAGTTCAAGTTGTTCTAGTTTTGAATTATGTATATCCTGTATTATGTCTACTGACTTTTACACACTGCATGGTGTTACCTGTCTTCATTAACTAAATAAATTGAGTTCTAGAGTTTTCTAGATTTAAATAATTTATATTTATAGCCTGACTGACCTTTCTTACCTCCTTCCTTTGTTTACCAACTCTTTATTTTATATTACAGGGGAGACAACTCCAGCAACATGATTTTACTTCTCAGATATTTTCACTAGGATATTGTCCTACTGGTGACTGGCTAGCTGTAGGGTAAGTTGCTATGTTTCTTATTTGGCACATAAAGATTTGGTAAAAATAAAATAATTTTGACATGAGCTTATCTCAGGTTGTCAATGTATATAAGTTTCATACAGTCCATTACAAGAACAAGTCAAATTTACTCTGTTAAGTGTAGTATGCAAAATGAAGGAAGGAAACGTAGACCTACTGAATGGAAGTAATCAAATTATCATCTGAAGATATTTGTGACTTGTTGTTTTTATTGATGTGTGTTTTTTACCTTTCAGTATGGAGAGCAGTAATGTGGAAGTTTTACATCACGCTAAACCTGACAAATATCAACTCCATTTACATGAAAGTTGTGTTCTTTCTCTTAAATTTGCATATTGTGGTAAATGGTTTGTGAGTACAGGAAAAGATAATTTACTCAATGCCTGGAGAACTCCATATGGTGCCAGCATCTTTCAGGTAGGTTGGAATTATACTGTAAATTATATTGTATGCTACAGACTTTGACTGTTTAAAATCCCATGACAGATAGCAATTTGGAGTGGAGTGGATCAGACTATTATTGCTTTGATGTCGTCCTGGCGTAGTTCTCCTCTTTGTACACAGTGTGATATTGTCTCGTCTACATTGGTCCATTAGGTGTTTCTGTAATAATGCAATATTTATTATTAACATAATGTAATTTGTATTTTCAGTCTAAAGAATCATCGTCAGTGTTAAGTTGTGATATATCAGGAGATGATAAATATATTGTTACTGGATCAGGAGATAAAAAAGCAACATTATATGAAGTTATATTTTAAACTGACTAAGTCATTTCTAAACACAGTATTAAAGTTGAGAAGTATCAGTGACCTTTGGCATACTGAAGACTTGTGGATGCTAATTTGGAATAAGCAGGAGTAACAAACTATAGTAATGAATACTGGAATTTTTTAGTAAAATGATACGATTTCTAGAAGATGATGATGAAGCAACTGCTTGAGGGACTTAAGGAAATGATTACCCTTAAATGGATATACATAGCATAGATGCTGCTAGCCTTAATGGATAAGTCGGGACCTACAGAAAATCAAGAGTATTTTGTGTCTGAATGTAACAGAAGTGAATTTGGTGTATATTTAATATTGTACAAAAAAGTGCTAAAATTCTGCACTACATTATGGATGTAAAATAAGTGATGTTCTATGACAGTGTTCAAATAGACGGTTAGCCAATAGCCAGTCTGGCTAAATGTTATTCCAAGGATGTGGAACTTGTGAATGGATGTATGTGAAAATATCAACAACAAAAAATTAATGACTTGCTTAGTATCTTGATTCATGACTAAGTTTTAATAAAAGAATATATCGAATCAATATGAAGTCTGGATAATCATTCTATAAATATATTGTGTGACTGGATTAACCAGGATTGTAGTATAATATAAAATAACACATGTACAGTATATGAAGCATAATAATATGATAATTAACATGTGTAATAAGTTCATTCCTAGTTTACGGAAACATTTGTAACATGTTCGTTCTTTTTGTCTAAATGTGAAAATGAAGACTTTTTAATGTTGTTCTTCAAATAGAAGGTGAAATTAGTCTATGACCTTGACCATATAAGACTAGTTTATGGATTGAGTATTTCCAGAATGCTTTCTTTCTAACTCATACTAGTGGGAGTCTAGCTGACTTCATCAACGTGTACAGTTCTTATTGTGTTCCATATTTACATTCTTACATTTTGGCAGGCATGTAGTCTTGGTCATTTTTCAGTGGACTTGACAAACTATGTATCTATAAGGCCACTGTTACCTTCTGTATTTGTTTTTTCTCACTTTATTTAATTATCTTCTGTGTTTAGCACTTTTTATTGTCCAATAGAATAATACTAGAAGATCAATCCCCAAGCGGTTTTGTAAAGGACCAGATGGTAGAAAGGATCATCGCAAAAATAAGTTGTTATCCTTGTAAAAAATGGTTGTTTCTTTTCTCTTTTTCTTACTTTAGTTTTAATGGAACCTTTCTCAGGTGTAGTAAATGTGTATTTTGGATTCAAAATAATCATTGTATTAGGGTTTACTCTGGCTATACCACCATCCATAATAGATTTGAAATTTGTGAATAATATAAACCTATGAGTTTTTAGGCCTACCTTCTAGAGCAACACATGAGTTCTTCTGTTATATTTGTTAACTTGGATTAAGATTTCAAGATAAAATATATTGGTGCTTTGAATAAACTGTCTATTATACATAAAATTTTGTTATTTTAATTGACCCATCCACAAACTAGAGCTGACTCTTAATCTTATAATCAATATTGTCTAAGTAGGCTATGGTATTTCTCAATGTAAAATTCCAAACTTAGACTATGACATGGTAGTAGTGCCAATTTTGAAGGAATGGGGCCATGGTCTTCTGTTGTCAGCAAGCATTTTAATTTCATATGCCGTTAATGCTTGTCCACTATTCATGATTGATTTTGGTCCTACATGAGACACTTTGATCAGTTTGAAATTATAGCCTCATACAGTTACCTTAAAATTGTAAGATATCTTATAATATATATATAACAAATTTACAAAGTAATGTTTAAAAATTTTCATTATCTGGTATAAGAGTCCAATATTCAATAAACTTTAATTTGTTGAATGCAATTATTTTTAAGGTACACAACTCACCTATCTTCAAATAAGCTGAGAAGGAATTTGAATTTGTAGGTATCAATAAACCCACCACTTGCAGTTGTATCTTGAAATGAGGATTCTGTTAATTCCTACCTGTCTGTGAAAGTCATAAAAAAGCTACGTAAATCAGAAGCTATTAGCAAGGTGCAGCAATGTGGAATTAAGAGCAATGGAAAGGAATCATATCGTTGGTATTTTGATATGGAATATGAATTTTCAAATCTCAGATTAAAGGGTTTCTGTGATATCAAATACAAATTAGTTTGAAAATAAACCCTATATTTAGAAAGAGAGTAAACATATCAGGCAGGTCGTATGTGGGATGTGTGTAAATTAACGCATGTGTATACAAGAACCATCTCTGAAACAAAGTCAATATGGCGGGAATGTGTGTTACTCTGCTTATTCAAATTTAACCACAGTAAACTTCCTTGGCCTTTATCAATAAATAAGAAGAAGCAATCAGATTACGACTATTTGACTAGTAAATACACACTGAGCCTGAGCTGGCCAAATATCTCTTTCTTGTCGATTCGAGTCCAACATAAAGTGTTTAGTGTTTTGTTAGTGGGAGTAATTCAAACTTCACTCATACAAGAACGTATTACATCGTGCATACGACGAGGTTTTCGAACGGTGATGTTTAATTTGTGATCTTGGTTATGTCGTCAGTTCAATGAGTACAACTTGTTCTTCATCATATTCTTCTGCAATGATTCATTCTTTTGAAAGGGATCTTCGTCCTAAAGTCAAGCAACTTGGAGCTTGAAGCCTTTCGGATGGTCATTTTATCCTGGTATTTTCTACTGATCAGCACAGGCTATGCTTTCACTATGTAAATTTATACAAATTTTGAAAGTTGGGGCCAAAACCGGATCATCCTCTTTTTCTGGCGAAGCCGGGGTTTGGGGAGCCTGACCTCCGTAGAAACGCCACTGTACGGGTTCGAGATCAAACATTTTTATCTGATTTCCGATTTTCCTTTATTTTCAAATCAAAACAAATATCCCAAGGAATTCACTTCCCTTTTTGTCAACATTGACTCCAAACAAACAAATCTCTAATTCCATATAATTACATAATATTTGCTTGCAAATAAAAGATGTTTTCCACTGACGCCATGAGAGGTCTTGTTTTTCATTCGATGCGCCGAACCACCCTTTTGGATCGTACTGACAATACTGACACAGTTGGTGTTGTTCAATCCAAGAGTTTTTTGGACCGATTTAATCACAGATGACCGTGATATCAGTCTGCTGGTGTTTTTTTTTTCAGTTGCTCGCAGATCAGAAGGTGTCATTCAAATATTTGAATCGGAACTTTTAAAGACGTTTATCACTGGTAATGAATTAATTTTGAAAGGTTGCAGATACATTAGTATCCTTGCAGAAAGCGTTGTGTTTTGAGAACTGACTGTTGAGCAAATCAAACTTTGGCTCACGCTATTAAACATATTATCCGGGGGATTCTTTTATGCGATATCAACGTTAGTGATAAAAACCTTTGAGAAAAACCCAAAATACGCTTTTTTTTGCGGTTTCGTGGAATGTGAAGAACTCTGGAAATGTCGTGTCTCTATATCAATAATCTGCATAAGCTTGACAAACTGTCGCTTGTTATCACTGTTCATTTATCAGGAAGTCCCAACGAAATAAAATATTTGTTTTTCAAACTTGTTAAAAGACAAAAACTGTTTAATCTGCGAGGTAGAAAATGTTTATTTATTAAACGGCTTCAACAGAAAACATATTTTGTGTGTACATTGTTTACATGGGTAAGGTAAATACGAAATATTTGCAATGAGGGTCCCGACTTAAACCAGGTTCTTAAATGCTTTTGAAAATGTTTATTTTGAAGTGATCCTCCATTTTTTGTTTTGACTTGATGTTTGCTGGCACTTTAGAGTCTATCCTGCTCACCACCTTGCCTCAACACGGTGCTAATCAGTCTGTTTGATGAAACTCGGGGGTCATTTTACAGCAGAATTGACATTTAGATTAGAATCTGAACGATATATGCGAACTATTTCAAATGTTTCAAGATCGTCTTCAGAGAATCAGACAAAGAAGATGGGACTGTTATGTTGGTGGGTTGATTTATTTCCTGTTTGGAGACTGATATTGTGTCCAAATTCCAATAGTGCTTAGTGCAAGAAAGTTTTTGTTACAGGATTGAGGTTAAGGTGTATTGTTACGAGTAGGTTTATCAACATATCAATGAAATGAGTAGAGATTTATGACCTAATTTGGCAACGCCATGCAGTGTTTAATGAGGGAAATTTTCTAGGACAGCGGCATTGACCTTCTCTCTTTTTATTTCCAACTGTCGAGGGATCTTTAACGTTAGCGCGTAAGCATCTAACTAACTGAGCCACCGCGGAAGCAATGACTTAAATAACATCTATCACCGAGTTGAAGTGCGCAACGTCACTCTTTTAGTTTTACTTGTAGTTTTTTGATAATTATAAGAATGGGGATATTTTTAAATGCAGCTTTGATGATTCGCTATAAATTTTTCATAATCTGCATTCATAATCATCCTTATTCTGGATGGAATTTGTCGATGGCATTCAGTAATACATCTATATAGCTCGTGGGTTATAGAAGCAAATGTTCAATTGCATTCATGGATTGAGGACGATTCAAAACACGTTGAAGATAACACAAGAGAGATAAATTGTTGACAAGACCAACCACTATCTAAATACTATCACAGTACGACAAACTTCTCTCTCTGTCAATGTTAGATCGAGTTGTAAATATTGACCTTTGTCAATTCACTACAAAATATTTTCTTCCTATTCCAATCCCCCCTTTAATTCTTCTGATCAGTGTTTTCTTGTGTATTCAACTGTTTCAATATGACTATACGTTGTTGAATGAATGCCTATTGTGCCAAAGTCAATTTCCGTTGTATTCACTTGAAGAGAACTTTATCCGATACTTATTGGTTATTGACACTCTTCAATGTAACCTACTACTAGTAGTCTCCCTGACACAATTTTAACAGTCAGATTCATCCTTTTTCTTCAATATTATATTTATAGCCTGTGTAAAATCCAGAGAGCCATTGCACTTATTAGACCTTCAAAATGGACCTCCATCAAACATTTCAAATGCGCAGAAGTTCACATATATATGCCTGAAAGGTCAAAGAAAAATGTTTTAGATCATCAAAATTTCTGGTCTGAGAAAAGAATTAACTGTAGTCTAGATTATTATTCACAATGAGTTACATGACTTTTCAAAATGGCTGCGCCCATGAATGTAAACATTGAATTAGAAGAACATGGAAATATTTCCAATTTCACAGACAGTGAGGATGAATCGGATGATTTTATGTCATCGATATCCATCCTAGCAGAGGAAACAATGACCTACCAGCCTCTTAATGTTCGCAGAGAAGAATGCAGACTATGTTCGTAAGAAAACTCGTTTTTTTCGAGTTCGAGAATGATATTTCATCGTAGATCAATGGATAATACGAAAAACAGAGACCGAACAGGCTGTACCATTTATGATTTGTGACTTATTGCCTTAAATACTGCATAAGTGAGCAAATTGGCATAAAAATAGTACATTGGTAAGGTGTGGCCTATTGTCTTTGCACAGCAAAATATTTTTATTTATTTTATTTTTATAAGAATTGGAATAGCAGCCTCAAAATAGTCTACTGGTAGTCTTAAAATGTATTTGCATTGATAAATAATATTAGTTTTGAAACTTTACATTGAAAAAAAACCACATTCCTCTCTTTCAACTGAAAAAAAGTCAAAAATTTTGGTTGAAAATTGTCCTCTGGTAAAAATATTTTGAGGTCATAATGTGTGCTCATGTTTATATTCATCATCACAAAGACATTCTTAGACTAACGGTACAATATTGAAGCTGTTATTTCAATCCTCATACAAATAATGGTAAAAATTGCTCAGACAATAGTCTTACCAAAGTCCATAATGAAATAATAACTATAATTTCGTGTTTTGCAGGCGTCCCATCAAAGTTTGTTGGTGTCCCTATTTACCAAATGAGCCAATTGCAATTGAAACCAATTTATACATTTTACAACATCCATATGAGGTAATAATAACAATATTTTCAATGGTATTAGCAACAGTTATAAACTGTCCACTGATCAAAATAGAAAGTCATTCTTGTGTTAAAACTTGTATTATATAATACTTTCTTGCAAAGACATTTTTTTCGCACTTAAATCACGCATGTGGAAATTGAATTACTCATCATTTTACAGGAAACAAGATGTTTGAGAACTGCTCCAATGCTTGTGAGAAGTTTACCTTCACACAAATGTCATCTCATTCAAGGCAAAAAATATCCACGCTCAAAGTAAGTATCAGTATTTTTACAATGTGAAAAGGATAAGCAAATATTGCCAAATAAACATTGAAACATGTATTCAATTGGCTTCTTGAAACTAGCAAGAACTTAAAAGATATATGAGCAATGAGAATGATCAAATGGTTAAAAAGGGATTTTAGTCAACGCTTAAAAATAACCCCAGTAAATAAAGTGTTGATAGCCATAACTTTCTTTTCATTTGCAGATTTCCAGATCTAGAAGGAGTTATAAATGCACCAAATACATTACTGTTATTTCCAGGTCCTGATGCTGTGAATATTGAAAATATATCAAATGATTTGTCAACTCAATACAATCTAATTGTTATTGATGGTACCTGGCAACAAGCTAAAGGAATTTATCACCAAAATCCAGTGTTACACATTCCAAAAAAGGTTGGCCATGCATTTCCTGTGATTTAGGTCGAGGGCTGTAGATTTGTCATGATATTAAAATCAAAAGTAGAACAGATTGAGCATTTAGACTTTATCCTGTTTGCTCAGCCTTTTGGATAGGCCAAAACATCAGCCTCTATTCCAGCCTCCAATAGCTATTTTGACAGTTTTCAGTTAAAAAGTCACTTATGTGACTTTTTAACTGAAAACAGGGCTTATTTCTCCTGACTCTACTCTAGCTGACAACTGTCCAAATATCAGAGGCTGGAACAGAGCCAGATGTTTTGGATTACCTTGAGGAAAATCTAATGCTGATCTGCAATTTGGTTTCTCACAATAGATTCAATACTTTAGTAGCCCTATCTTTAAGAGTGCTCAGAACTTATTAGTTTTCAACCTTATATATTCAGGTACAGGTACACTTTACTGGTAGAAGCAAATATAGTATTAGAACCCAACCTAATGACCATTCCTTATCTACATTAGAATCAGTAGCATTAGCTCTATCTACTTTAGAAGAGAAACCAGAAATAGCTGATGTAAGTCAAACTTTTCTGTTTGTTGTTGCTGCAGTATTAAAGAGGCTGTTATTTTTTAAGGATTATATATACTACAGGATATAGTTGTTAAAGGGATAAGTTTGCCATCCCCTTGACCAATCGTACCATAGTCTAAGAAACAGAAGTATTTTTTAGCTAAGCTAATCAGTGTTTTTTTAGACCAAATATAGAAAAGACATATTTAGAAATAGACAGTAAAATTCCTACTTTGTGGTATGTTTAAAGGAATTATGCAATTTATAGTACTTCTGAAGACTATTACCATATCTTCAAGATTCAAATCAGCCCCTGAATCTGTTTCCTCAAGTAAAGCACATAGCAAGGATGAGTGATTACATGATATTATCTGATTAAAAGAAGATTGTGTAACTGAATAGCCTCTGAAAAAACCATCCATGTGAATTTTGTGGCTCATGCTTTTTAAAATTGACCCAATTGTGAGTAACAGGGGTCAAGGACCATGAGTCACTACACTCATATTTTTTGCTTAAGAACTTGATTATGTTTTCAGATATTAACAAGACCATTAGAAGCTTTAGTTAAATTTCAATTAGACCATGGTGCCAAGGCTCAGGAGAGTAGAGATTATAAGATCAAAAATGGATTATGGACAAAGCGGTTACCTAAATCAGTTTTGAAGAAGAGAGAGAAAGAAGAAAGAGAACATAAGGGGAAGTGTGATTGATGAAGGCATTTTTTCTAGCTCATTTAAATTTTTATTTATAGGATATATACATAATTAAATATTTCTTTTATATTGTATTTGTGATATGGGAAGCTTTATTATGAAGAATCTTTTAAAGTTATATGGCCATTGTGAATGACCACTGTCATATATCAATATTAGATCAATGTGGTTGATTGACTAGACTTGCAGCACCAGTGGGGGGTATGGGTTCCCCCTAGACATATTGTTTGTACCCCCAATTGTATCCCCACTTAATTTCTAACAAATTTTAAAATATCACTTTTCTTGGGGAAGAGCCCTCTCAGAGCTCCATGGGAGGCTTTCTCCTCATTTGAATCTCAACCTTGACAGTTGTTCCCTACCCCCACGCCCCTCAACCATTAAGTCAGTTTTGCCCTATTTATGTACCCTCAGCCGGACGTCTAGCGCCTCCACTGCCCTCATGTAGCCTACTCTGAATACAATGGTCACTTCCATGTGCCTGACATGGACTTGACCTGTGGACTCTATTGTCGATTGGCTGAGCTTAAAAATTCTCGTTTTTAAGACTTAAGGTACGATTGGTAAAACGTTCCTTTAACATTCATTGAAGCGATTATTTTCAAAACAACTTCAGCTTTCTTAATGATATAATCCTTGAAGCAGCTTTATTCGAGTTACATGCGTGTAGTGAGATATTTTCTATCAGTTAAATGATCTATTAAACAGCTGTTGGTCTTTATGACACAACACATACTTCAATCCGTCCTGAATACAATTATTCGGAGACTGTTTTACTTTTGTGATTAGTGAAAATAAAGATAGAGAGATTAAATCCAGGTGATTTCAAGCTATTTAAAGGAAGATATTTTTTTTGCGTGGCCAATCACCGCCATTAATTGCAAACATAATCTTAATTTCCGGTGTCCTTGTTATATTGGTTGTCGGGAAGTTGGGTAAAACAAAATCCAATCAAAATTAAGATGGCAAGACCCTTACAGCTTTTGCAAGAGAAATCTTCCAAAATTAAACATGGTTTGCAAACTATGCTAGGGAAACAGTGTGATGTAATAATTAATGTTGGGTGAAGAATAATTTTGTGATGCTATATTCCCAATAGAGTTATCATCATAATATTTCAGCAGTTGATATCAATCTAACATTCTCTAATTTTCTTAGATTTCGTTGGCCATCGGGGAAAATATTACTTCAATGAAAATACCATGCATAAACCAGTCCTGGTACCACATATCTTTCATTCTATATCATCGAGCAGGTAGGGAGGTAGATGGCAAAGTTAACGTTCGCTTCCAGCGGATGCTAATATCGCTAACTAGGTAGTTGTTGATAGTCGTAGTAGTTGTTAGTTAGATTGGTTCAAATTGGATGATTGGTGCTGTTGGTTTGGTAGTTGATAATACCACCATGCAATATTACATGTTATTATCTGAAGAGAGAAAGATAATGTGTCACATGTCAATCACACAGAAGGTGATATTGGAATCTGGTAATCATGACATTTCCTGTACACAATAGAAACGATTAGGTTTTCATGGCTAAATTTATTCTTGGCTTAATTTGTCAGGATGAGGGTGCAACAGCAAGCTGGTCACATCCTTGATAATCAGGATGGCATAGATATTATCATATCTTGTGTTGATATTGGGTATCCAAGTCTGAACTAACAGGTTGATATCTTGATAGTTATTAGGAAGTGAGGCCGACTCTCTGAAGAACTTTCACAGGCATCAGAATTTGTCTTGCCTTTGTTTCGTACCTACGGCACCTTATCGCCTAACAGACGACAATCTAACTACCAACCGAATTATTTAGAAACAATAGACCAATCTCTGAATTAAAGTACCATATTCATATTTATGATGTGCAATTCTGCATCCCGATTTCCGGATTATAGGAGCAATGGATCTATACAAATACGTGGTATAACAATTTTGGGGATGGGTATTACAATATAATACATATATGTGGTTTTCATTATATCCTTCCTATGAATCTAAAGGGTTTTAATTTGATTATGAACCACACACCACAAGTGGACTTGAAAGTGGGTGTTGCTTCAACGGTGACAATCTTGTGCAATCTTTCACATTTAAGTACTTAAAAGATCAGAATATCAAACCGTCCATCCATTCTGCATATTTAAAACTATGCAAATGAGCTTTTAAGTAGAATTTTACCGCCTTTTAAATGAAATACTATTCAAGCTTGACGGCGCCCCCAAATTACACTCCATTCTTTCTTATAAAGTTTCTCACAATGGCTTATTAAATAAGACGTCTGGAAACAATTTATTTTAGTGGTGGGAATAGACAGGGCGATAAGAAAATACCTTTCATGTTGAATAAAAACACAATGTAGTTATAAATATACTGGTCTTCAGGTGTTAAGCTTGTTTGTGTCTTCAAAAAAGAGAAATAGTGGGTTTAAGATTGTCTATTTTTCTTGATCGTTGATCAGTGGTGTACCCGATAACATTGGCAAAGTTAGGCTAACAGATGAGTTCATTGTCGTCCAACAAGCCAGTCTTTCCATGTGGTTGGTCAAGCGAGTCGTCACCCCACAGCCCAGCACTTCGCATTACTTATAGCCCTGTCAACTACAGAGGCGTGAAAGATATGTCTCGTTTCACTGAACACAAACCACCAAAGGGGATTATATTTGTTATCTCACGGTGAAAATACACTACAGAAATAGCATGAATATTGCCCATGGCGAGAAATAGTCGCATGTCAATTATAGGAGAGTTGGGCGGGACATTTTATTTTGACATTAATTCCTCATTGGCCTGTTATTAGAATGGTTTTTCTTCCCCGTAACTACCCAATTATTTTTGCACCTAACAACCGCGTAATTCTAATTAATTAGCTACGTGTATGAAATATTCATTTTATTTCCCACACTGTGGCTCTCCGGCAACTCAAGACTGAAATATTTTGGTAGGTAATTGACAAGTTCATCATATCACTTACCCTCTTAAATTTCCAACTCTGATTTGCAATGATTGGTTATAAGCTTTGAGATAGGTGAAAATTACCAAAAGAAAATGAACTGCTAATGGCTGCTAATTAAAGGCTATTCTGATCAAGATTTGATTTACAAGTCTACTTCATTATAAAGCTCTTTGGTATTCAGTGAAACCCACCACGTACATCAAGGGTGCACTAGATTACCCACCAACAAAGGAAAGAAAAGAATCTTTAAAAAATCGCATGTGATTAAGTAGTTGTAATTTCATCTTCTTATTCAAAATCGTACATTGAAGTAAACAGAACATATATATTGCTAAAGGCGAATAAAACCATGAAACGTTAAGCCCTTTGGTCATACTATAGGTGATAGTTGAGTCGGGAAACGGAGCGTGTCTTTCTGGGTTGCTCACAATGTGTAAACTTGTCTCTCAGTACAAACAGTGGTCCCACCTGTCCTAATCTTCTTACTCTAATTTGTAAAATCTTAACAACTCTTCTCTTAGTTCATTGGTGGCTTTCTGATACAAAAGGCGTGACACTATAGTCTGTTCAAATATTTGGACATGTTCTTACCTGTCAAACTTACAATATGACACGGAAGGCGGAGCAGGTAAACTTTCCGCCCATCCATCCTTATGAGGATTCAAATATTGAAGATTCAAGTGATTTAATCGGTGGTCAATTGGTAACCTGCAGCTTAATGGAATATTTCAGTTAAATAATAGCACACGTACAGAGCAGTAACCTCAAAGTTCCACCATGATTTTTCCAAAATCAACACTGGATAGTGGAAAGGAGAGCTAGTAGTCCCAGGTTTAAACACGTTGCATTATGTTACTGGCGAGGTAGGACACACGGACCCTTCAGGAACTGCTGGGTTTGTCTCTCTCGGAGTGTTCGCTGTCTACTGCTTACTGGCACTCTTTCATTCAGTAACAATACAATACAATGGCAAAGTTGGGTTATTGATGTGGTCAACTCTTTCTGAATATCCACATTGCACTATTCGATGGCTGCTAATCTCTACTGTTGATGCATTAGCAGTATTGTTTGCAACAAAGATCTCGCAATGAAAAGTTACGATACCGGTTGATATTGTCATCGTCGGGTTAGAGTTACAATGGTTGTGGGATCAATGAATGTTATCAAGTGGGGTGATTCAGGTCGATATTTGATCTGATTGATCTCTGAATAAATTATCATATTGAAAGACCAAATGTTTCATTATTCATACATAGTTGCTTATCTATGTTCTCTGGAATATTTATGTGCTTTTGCGTGGACTTGAAACGCTAACGTGAACCAGAAAGGAAACCTTGTAAAAGCTTGTAATATAATTTGATTTTGATTTGACTATCAATTGTATATCATTTGGACTATACAGAGCTCAGAGTCACTTAAATTTGATTTCAAGACTTCAAAGCATGTAACTTTGGCTATTGATGATACCTTCTTTCGAATCAGGTCATGTATTTGACCAATCTAACACCAACCTTCAAGATATCTCCAAAACGAACTCACTTAAACAGTTGAATCTGTAGTACAAGATGCATCGTAGGAGGAAATCCTGTTGCTTCGGACGATTAGCCAGGGACCAACTTGTAGACTTCAATGCGTCTTCTGATTGTATGTTCAATAATCAGCATGGTTTTGGTTTTATGGATCTTGCTGTGCAATGTGGACTACAGACCACAAATGACAATTGACAGAAGAATCCTTAAGATATTAATACAGTTAGTAATATAGGAATTGATATTGACCATGTCAGTTCTAATATCTTCCAAGTATTTTATAATCTTTACTAAGCCATTGTGATTATCGTTACTATATCAATCCGGCTCGTTTATCGTGTACTTCAACGAGTTGATCTACCAGGTCATTTTGTTCTGGATGGATAACTTCAGTTCAAACCTACTTTGTTCAAGTATATCTTGATTATACGTAAAAACTGTTAAATATAAAGGGAGAAAATGTTGTGATATGTTCCACTCCAGTGATCTGATAAGTACCACGTATATAGTAAGATCA